AGGCAGTATATGGTCAATTTAAGATAGGATTGAAATCAAACTTAGAGAAAGGAGGGGACATCACTTCATAACCTCTTAAAAAACCTAGCCACTTTTTTATCTAACTTCTTATGCAAAAAATCTACTCAGTACTCAGTTATTATTAAAAAAAATAATATAAAAAAATAAATTTATTACTTCCATTAATCAAGATTTATTCGTAAACGTTTCGTGATGTTGTAAAGTGGAAAATGTGAAAAAGCAAAGCAAATTGCAACCTTGACTTTGAAAATGCAAACACACAAGTTCATTGGCGAATTTAAAAGTGCATGAAAGCATGAATTGAGCGTAAATTATAAATAGATTATTATTATTCGTAATTCTTTTATGAAATTATTATTTTGCTGCTTAAAAGTATCCAGAACTTAAACAAGAATGAGAAAGGTGTCGAAAAATCGATGCGGATTTATTTAGTAATAATTACCGCACATATAAGTCGTGTCTATTTATAGATATTAAATTTCTATTTTTATGCAACTTGGCTTCTTTTCTATGCGAATTGAACTGAGTTGGGAAGGCGGTAGTTTGTGCTTGTTGATGATGATATAAGGCGCATTTAAAGAGATTTTATTTGTAATGTTTAAGAAATTATTACAAAACTGCAAAAAATATGTTTAACGTTTCTTTAAAAGTTTGAATTAAGTCAATAATGAAAAACAAAATGGCGATAGCACATGTTTTCCAATTCGAAAAGTTTTTGTCAATTTTCTTGAAACATTTATCAAATAACTGATATGAGTTTGGTTTTTTGCACTTCAAAAAGTAGCAACTATCGTAGTCTTTAATGTCCATAAAAAAATTCTTAACATTTGACTCCTTTTGAGCTGTTTAACTCCATTAATTATACTTTCACAACTCTAAACTCTCATTTTTAATCTTACAGATATAAAAATTTCAATTCTGTTCAAATTTCATTTTAAAAATAACTTCTTGCTTGGCGCATCGACAAGTTAAATTCTTTTCCTACCTCAATAATTACCCGGTGCCAATAAAAAATATAAGAAGATATCTTTTTTCTCTTTACCGGCTTGTTTTTAATTTCAAGAGATAATTACAACGTGACGATGATGATGTGCGAGATGTGAAGAATAAGGAAATAAAAATTGAACAATAATAAAAAATTATAGAAAAGTTATTTTTTGTCTTCCTCAAGGACGATTTCTGTATAGTAACATGTGATGAGATCATATGGGATTGAAGATGTTCATTGCATACCTCAATCACATTTTTGATGTTTCGTCAAGTGCCAAAAAATTTATTTTGTTGCTATCTGAGCCATAAAATTGTCGTCAATATTTAAAGGGCGTGAACTCGATTATAACAATTGGCATCGATTAATATTGTGATAAAAAAATTATTTGTTCTAATTTTAAAATTCGCATCTGCTTCACATCCATTTAAGACATTTCCTTCTCCTTACGAATAAAAATCATTGATGTGTCATAACTAGTTTTTAATTTCACTACGGACATTATTTTTAGATGGAAATAATTTTCAATAAAACATTTTGTAATGAGAAATCTTTTTATTACTTTTCTGACAAAATTTATAAAACAATTGAGGTTTTTTCTGCTGAATTTTAGTGGTCTGGATTTGAGGCTAATGTACTTAAAAATATTTTTAATAATTTTTCCAGAACGGAAACTTTTAAAATTTTAAAAAATATTTAAAGAGCAACTTGAAGCCTCAAAGATATTAATTAATACATTAAAACATATAAATCAACCCTAATCAAGGTCATTAAGTCTGTAAAAATGCAGATGAGAGCGCTATAATATATTTCATTGAGTCATTGAGTCTGTGGATCTGGGAATAGATGCATGAATTTTATGGTGCATTTGCTGATCATTTGTCAAATGTTGTTCCTTGGAAATTACTCATCCCCTTCATATTCTGTCATATTTTTAGTTGAGGTCATTTCTTTTGTGAATAATGTTATTTCTGGGATGATTTAGCTTCGTATTTATATTAGTTGAGTTTTTTCATTCCCAGTCATGGTTATTCTATTTTGCGAGTCCTTGGTTCCTCAAATTCTAATTCATAAGCAGATTTGTACTGATAGGAGTGATTCGGACCCTATTCCAGCAGCCGTAGATTCTTTAAATGCAAAGCAAATCAATAACCAGTTGCACCCTCAATAAAAAACAGCACAAGCTACTTAAATTCCATCAAGTGATCTCAAAAACACACTTCAATCTTAAACTTTCCATAACAACCTCCTCCAACATCGTTAAAAACAATGACCATGATTTTTTTTATGATAAACATTTCAACCAGACATCAATCTCCATTGACCGGAAATATTTAATTTAAATATGCAGGAAAAAGCAGAGTGAAAATTGCATCACAATGCGAATGTGAAAAAAGAATATGAAAAATTTTCTTTCTGAAGGTCGAAGTTGTAATGCAAGACACAAAAGTGTGTGTGCTGTGCATTATGAGAAAAAAAATGACATGTAATGGGAAAAGTATTTATAATAATAAATGTGAAACTGGAAGTTGTTGAATAATGAAATGTGAGAAAATTTCACGTTTCCTTCACTTTTTAAGTATTAGGGGTGTATTCAAAGGCAGAGGGGGCATATTGTATTATTGATGAATTACAGAAAAGCTCGTCATTTACAACATTGAGCTCTGCACACGCGAGTAAAGATGAAAAATTCAGTCAATTGAAAATAGGGCGTCGCTGATTATGAATAATATTTTTCACTCTATCGATTATTACACACTTATAAAATAAATATTTTTCCCAACTTTTATTGATTCCCATAAATCAGTTGAAAAATGTGCCAGGTTTGATAATTGAATTAAGCTAGCTTTTTTTTCCTGTAAATTTAAATTGAACGAACGAGACTGTGGAAATTTTCAAGGACAAAAAGTTCGTAAAATGAAATCTTTGCAAAAAAATAGAGAAAAATTGCAATAAAAACTTTTCTATTTGACTTTCAATTTTTTTTTCTTGCCATTTGAAAGTGAACTTTTCCTGATTGCGATTTGTATTTTTTTCTTCATTGATTGTGTAACTTGCTGATTCATGTGGCATGATTTCGTGATTAGAAGGAAATTTGAATTTGGCTTGTAGAAATTTTTGATGAATTGCTAGAAAAAAATTCATTCATGATTTTTAAATGCAATAAATTCAATTTTTGAGTAAGAAAATGTAAAATAAATTTTTTTTGTAAAGTTTAGAGCTAGCTTGATAATTTTTTAAGTACGAATTAGAACTTTTCTTTATTCTCACTTTAAAAGCTATTATTCTGGATCTAGAAAACCAAGAATATATTTAAAAAATTAATTGGGTCGAGGTGGGGCCTGAAGCAACAAAAAGCTTCCTCTTATTCTGCTCCTAGGTCTCAAAAATTACATTTGATGACATGATGTCATTTATGAGCAACCCTTAAACTCAAACAATAGCGCAAATCATTAAATATAAATTTAATTTTCACATTAACTTAATTTTAGGACAACAATAAATTAATTAAGTGCAATAATGAGCACATTTATTGGATTTATTGTTTAACTTTGTCGTTGTCTTCACGATATCTTGTTAAATGATTATTATTACAAAATAATTAATTAGTCACGATATTTAAAATTGGAAAAATACTTTCTTGTTATAAAAAAAAAACCTTTTTTGTTTGAGGTTCTTAATTTCATTTCAATTTGAGCTTTTATAGTTGAAGGATAAATTATTGAGGTTAAATATTTTATTGATAATAATTAAGTGAAAATTAATTTAAATTCAAATTTATCGTGAATTCTTTTAATTGAGAATTTTATGATATTAGAAATGAGTTTTAATGAATTCAGTGCATCTGCTTGAGGTAGGAACCAATTTCTAATTTAGCAGCAAAAATTCTTCTTGTTTTTCTCGATTCTTCTTTCATGAATTTTCACTCAATAAAATTTATTGCGTATCAAGCAACTGTTTTTCCTCAATGAAAAGTGAAAAAAATATTTTTCGATGCCGCTTTGACAACAACAAAATAAAAAACAGTTTAGAGCATCAGCAGAACTCTTCCGAGATGCGCCAATTGTGCAATTTTCTCAGCGCATAATCACACCCACACACGACATTTTCATATAGCGACGACAAAAGTTGCATCGAAAATGTAGAAAAGTTCTCGAATGTGTGCGAGAAAATGCTTCCGTTTTCACCAATATAGTCACATAAAGTCATACCGAGATGAAAATATTTCAAATGGGAAGAATAAAAACAAGAATTTTCCATAGTCAGAAATGAGGGAAAACATTATTGAGCATAATGTAGGTCAGTGGAGATGTATACACTAACACAGTCTCATTAAACATTGGCCTAGGCTTCGATGATGCTGCACATCAACATTATCGATTTTCCAAAGCCAGATAGAAAAGCTTGTTGGCTGGCTACGTCCTTCCTCTCTCAACAATCGAGAGCGTTTTCCATTTCGTCATTAAAAGGGAAAGAAAATGAGAAAAAAAATGTTTATTGAATTTTCACTTGCAATTGAGAAGGAGGCGCACTGCGCTTTATGTTGAGACGTCCTTCAAACTCAATCTTTGTGTGAAACGACAAGGAAGTCTGCATTTGTTTTTAATCTCTTTACTAAACACTTTGCTGTCATTAAAAAGTTCTTGAATTATTTTTTTTTGTCGAGTGAACTTTCGAGAAGCTCCTCAACTTTCTATAAGAGTGTGTATGGATGTCTTTTATTGATCGGTATTTGAATGTCTAGGTCATGCTATAAATATCCATACAAAACATGAAAAAAGTATATTTTTTTTGAAAAAAGCTTTTGCACATAACAAAGGAAGTAGGAAGCGATATGGGAAATGGCATTGAGTTCATACACGAATTGATGACGATATGAGCTCAAGAAAAAGTCTCGCAAGTCGCAAGTCCTTGACATAATCAGATTTCCTGTTTTTCTTTCTTTCAAAAAATTTCTAATTTTCTCTTTTTACTTTTCATTTCCTTGCAGACAATAAAATAAGCAGCAACTATGTCAGAAACAAGTTCATCATCAAGAGGTGCACCATCGCCATCATCACATTCAAATTCATCACTACAGCAGGACTACGATATTACGCGAATGCGTGAGGATGATTTTGAGAGATTAGCTGTATATATTGTACCAGATGTTCCATGTGAACGAGGCCTTTCAAATCGGGCGGAAAAGACTTTGCCCAGAAGTCTAACATTAAAGGCTTCACTGGCGCTATCGACGCCCACACAACCGGTATGGAAAATTTTCTTGTTTTGTAGCTTGACAATATTTATTTTGATGCTATATTATAAGTTGTAGCTACAAATCTTCAAGCTTGTCCTAATTTCCTTCTTTAGCTTTGTTCACTAATTTTTCTTCATTTATTTTGTTGTCTTAATGTAGATTGAAGGTGTATGGAGCACAGGTGTTATACCAAAAGGAACGCGATTCGGTCCATTCGAAGGACTTCGCGCATCAAGTTATCCAAGTGATAAATCAGCATGGAGATATTTCTGGAGGGTAAGTTTTTGTACCTTACTTATTTTTTTAAGTTCTTGTGGGAATTTTGTGGTTTTTTAAAAAATTCGAAAATTGAAATTTTTAAAATTAAGCCTTTAAAAAAATCATCTAAAACTTCCCACAAGGACGCCAACAAACTAAGAACTTGAGAGAAATGAAACTTTAATCTTATCCTTTCCTCATTTCTCTCTGCACTTTATCAACTACTTTGTAAGAAAAAAACAAACAAAGTTTCTAATAACGAAGACACAACATGTATGAGAATGTAGTAAATTATAGAACATAACACACTTTTGTGTCATATAAGATTATCTAGTTCTTCATAGAGTTACGGAAAAACCTTGAGTTGAATTTTCCGACAACTTTGTTGATAATTTTAATAAGAGCTAAACTTAAGAATGAAATGAAATTTTAATGGCTGAAATGCAATTGAGTTGCAAGTTTGTCGAATTCAAGGATTATTAAGGAGTGATCTTGAGCTGAATATTTGTGAAATAATTATTAAACTTCTTTTGGTGGCTCTTAATATAAGAATTTGAGCTGCTAAGTTCTTGATAATACTAGTAATGCATTTAAAGTCATAAAAGAAACTCAAAAACTCATCAATTTCTTTGGAAAGTGCAACAATTTATTATAAATGAAAGGATTTATTTATAATTACATAATTTAAAAAAAAAAAACGACGATCAATTAAGTTCTTCAAAGTCTTCTTTTTGTTTTTATAACGTTTTGAATCCTTTCAATAACGTCGTTTCCATGGTTTCAATTACATTTCATTTAATTTTAATATTCTGAGGATTATTGAGGGTCGTTACTTCATCACATATTGCTGACTAGTCTCAACCTAGTTGCTCATCCTCCAATCAGATTTATATTTCCAATTTTCCAGCTAATTTCAGCTCTGTAACTTAATACTCAACTCAACTACATGCTTTTGTGTCTTCAATCAGTTCAATTAATCGACTCACGACACATAAAACTGAAATTGTAAATAAAATAATTTTAATTTTTTTTTTGTATTTTTTCTCTTCTTTTTTTTCTTTCATGCTCTTCTACTTCTGTTACCTCACATTCCTTATCCATATTTATATCTATATTAAAATGAACTCTAACAACTGTAAAATTCTCTTTTGGCTGATTAACCGCTATGTACAAAATAAAATAAAAAAAACTCTATGACAATCCAAAATTTGATAACTGTAAACTGGAATCAGGTTCAGGAATTGAGACATGTCTCATATGGAAATATTAAGGTACTTAGATGTGACAAATTAATGTTCTTTTTGTGTAGTTCTTGTAGACATTTTTAAAAATTAGATTTTAGAACTTTAAGCTTTCAATATCCCAAAAACCCTTTGTTGATTTATTAGCATTTTTTAATTAACCCTCCAAACCCCCTCCCAGTGAGCCACAATCACAGGCCCTCCCTAAAATTTTCACAACTTAGAATCAATCCTCGAGGATTTAAATGAAGCTTGACTTTTTCCCGATAATTAAGTCAATCAAATAAAAAATTTATGTCATTGACAACAAGCACAAAAAAAAATATTCTGAAAATGAAATTTACACAAAAGAGTCAAAATAATGAAAAATTAATGACAAAAAGCTGAAAAACTAGCAGTATCATTATGGCTTTGCACGTGCAATGTCAGTTCATTTTCAATTTATTTGTTATTCTCTCACCAAACAGTTCCACAAAGTTCCAAGAACTTTTAGTTCAATAAAGTAGCTTTTTTGTTGCTGTTTGATGATATAATGGTTGTGCTGGAATAGAGCAGTTTTTTCCTCTCTAGCTACATCCTTTTCCAAACTCCTAACCGACATCTTGTTACTAGTTTCTCACTTAAATCTGTAAATATTCAACGAAAATCAGAAGTACATCCTTGAAAGCTTTTTATTCCTTATTTTCTTATTCAAAAATAATTAATGCTCACAACATAATCCGGAACTAATAAGAACATGTTCTTCTCCTCAACAGATATTCAAAGATAGTGATTTCTATTACCTTGATGGCTCGGATACATCACACGCAAATTGGATGCGATATGTTGCATCTGCATATAATTTAACGGTTATGAATCTCGTGGCGTGTCAGCATCAAGAGCACATATACTTTTATACAATACGTGATATTATGCCAAATGAGGAATTGATGGTTTGGTATTGTCGGGATTTTGCAAAGCGCATGGGATACGACATCGATCCAGAACGTGCAACATATTCAATTTGTAAGGAGGAAACACTTAAAAAGGCTGTTCAAACGTACGCTATGCCAAAAGCTAAAATTACACCGGAAGTTGCCTATAATCATATGAAATATGTGATGGGACTTCATCTACCCGTACTAAGAAAACCAGACTCACCACCGACACCACAATTAGGACAACATCCACAACATCAAACAGTACTGAATTTAAGAGAATCTCATGAAGTTGTACGTGATAGATCACCAATTAGAATAATGATACACGAGAATGGTCGAACACATGTTGATGATGGATCAACGACCATTGTCAAGGTCCATCCAGAAAAGGATGAAGGATCACCGAAAGATCCATCAGCACCATATGAGCATCAACAATTGACACCAAATGATGGATCTGTGAGATCAGATGAAGGTTATCATAGTAATTATCATGATGATGGATTCACACCGCCCGAGGACTCGAGCGACAGTGAAAGTGAAACAAATTATGTTCTTGACTGCTCACAGAAGACTATTGAACCGAAAGAGACTGCCGTATCATCAAAGAATAATAATAATAATATAAATATTGTTAATAATAATAATTCTAATATTAGTAATAATGTAGTTGTGACTGAATCAGCTGATGGCAAGAATGATTATCGTAAAGTTAAGATGAAGATGCCATTAAAATATGAATTTAAGAATAAACAGCAACAGCAGCTAAAATCACAAGCATTATGCGATTTATCACACGATGACGTTGCAATGACTGATGTTGGGCATGATGATATGATGGATTCAGCGCCATCAGTCATTCAAATGAAGCCTGCAACAAGCACCGTTATTGTCCTCGAGTCATCAACAAACACAATAATTCCATTGACTAAACCATACTATGAACCTGAGACAAGTGTATCACCAATTAATGGACATGCATCGGCGGCATTTATGCGCTATACACCTCCAACGTCGAGCATTCTTGAGACAATTTTGACAGGAAATCGACTTGTTGATCAACAACAAGAGTCAACACGTCGTCAACCTAATGCAACACCACCACCAACATCACCGACTGAAATGGCATATTCATATAAAAAGTCACAGCGATATGGAAATGCATGTAGTCCAGACTCAAGCTCTAATCCACAACCTGTATCATCTGGTTCACCACCATCACCGCCTCAAATTATCCAAATGTCAAGCTCACGACTGGATGCATCACCACCGACACTAATCTACATTAATAACTCATCATCGTATGAAAATAATAATAATAATAATAATATTAATAATGGAATTATGAACCAAAGAACATCACCGACATCATATGGAACTTATAGTATTTATTCGACATCTAATGGTCCCAGTATGTTGACACCAAATAGTAATGGATCATACTCGCCTCCATTAAATAATGGACAATATGAGAGATTAACAACATCATCAGCATCACCGCCATCATCGGCTGCAAATATTTTACCATTTAATCATCTTCATCATCACAGTCAATTACCATTATCACATCCATTATTGCAGCCATTGCAACATATTCAAACGACACATGATTCACGTTCATCGCACTCACCACCATGCAGCTTAAGTCCTGATGGTGAATCATACTCGAGAAGTGGATCTCCACATTCACCGGAATCGCCCGGATCACGAGGCTATAAAAGTTTACCATATCCGTTAAAGAAACGTGATGGAAAGATGCATTATGAATGCAATGTCTGCAGTAAGACATTCGGACAATTGTCTAATTTAAAAGTACATCTGAGAACACATAGTGGGGAACGTCCTTTCAAATGCAACATACCAACATGTTCCAAGTCATTTACACAATTAGCTCACTTGCAGAAGCATCATCTTGTACATACTGGTAAGTTCTCTCTTGATTCTCTAAGATTTTTTATTAAATATTGTTCCTTAATTCAACAGGAGAGAAACCACACATGTGTGAAATCTGCAAAAAAAGGTTCTCCTCAACATCAAACTTAAAGACTCACTTGAGACTTCATTCGGGACAAAAACCATACGAATGTGATTTATGTCCACAAAAATTCACGCAATTTGTTCATCTCAAGTTGCATAAACGACTACATACAAATGACAGACCATACGTCTGTCAGGGCTGTGATAAAAAATATATTAGTGCTTCAGGACTTCGTACCCATTGGAAAACTACAAGCTGTAAGCCAAATAACCTTGAAGAGGAAATGGCTATGGCAGCTGCTGCTACGAATGAGTATTTGGGTGAGTATCGTGGTATCGAAATTTTTTGATACTAACAGAAAAAAAAGACTTTGAAAAATTTCGATAACTAATAAGGTCAGAAAATATGAAAAAAATAATTTAACTCTTCAAAAAAATTGAAAATTTTGGATGTTTGTTAAGCTTGACTAAGACGAAATATTCCTAATTTAATTTCCGTAGATAAAGATCATGAGATGGAACGAGAGCATCGTGAGCTCTACGAATACCAACATGACTCACCTCCTCATCAACCACAACACCAGCAACCACATTTATCACCACAAACAGTTCATATAACTCCAAATCATCCGCATCTAAGGCATGTGGGACATCCACAAACGTCAATAATTTGCATTCAGCAACAACAACAACAACAACAACATACACCCACGCATCATCATCATCATCAACAGCAGCCAACAATTATTGCCACGAGTAATCAATCATCATCACAGATCCCGCAAGTACAAAGTCAGTCACAGCCTGAACCAATGCAAGAGCAATTTCAACTTATCAAGAAAGAGGCAACGACGCATTTTGCAACATCACATCATCAAAATGGCGGTGAGATGAGACCCAGCGTGATTGAGTCTAATCAACCAATGGTCATTGAATGCACATAAATTTTAAAAAATAATAATTTTTAAGAAACGCAACAAAAATTTTGAGATGAAATTTATAAACTTTAATTCTTTTCTTTTTGCTAAGTGATGATGCATTAAGTTTTTATTATGAATCCTAATTGATTTTGTACATATGATGAAGAATTTAAATATTAAGTTTGTATAGATAAAGTTAATTAATTATTATTATTCAACCTTGTTGTTGTTTTTTTCTTCTGAATTGATGAAAAAGGATGAAAATGAAGATGAGATGAGGTTTTTGGATGGGGGTGTGATGGGGTGCTTGGAGATGTTTTGAAGAATTTTTTGAAGTGTAACTTAGAATTTCAATATAAAGAGCTTGAAGCTGATTTAAAATTTTCTTTTGATTTATTTCGGATTGGATACATTCAGAGTATACTCTAGGATTTATAGTTTTATTCTCAATCTGAAACCTTTTGCTGAAAACACTTCTTCAAACCATCATTAGCACTCCTGCTCTTATTATTGACACTTAGAAAATAGTTTTCAAACTTAAAAAGTGTTTAATCTGGCACGAGGGACTCTCTTATGTCACTGAAGAGCTTACATTGGCACACCTAGTTTGAAAATTAGATTTAAGTTCACAAAAGTGTGAAACAGCCTCCCAAAAAATGTATATTGTACCATAAAGTGAGTTTTTAAAACATGAATGGTCGAATAAATGGTTACGAAAAAAAATCTGAGAATGCAAGAAAGTGTTAAATGAATTATTTTCAGTATTTTGATACCGCAAATGTGAAAAAAAATCTCAAAAAAAAACCTTTACTGATTATAAGAATAAGCTAATTATAATGATAATTTAAATTACACTAATGAGACTATAAATAAATGATTACGCATATAACTGACTGATATTCTTTAATGTAGAAATATAAATTTTTATTAGAATTTATCTTCATAAAGGAACTGATTTTTCTTAATTTTGAAACAATTTTATGATTTTTTTTTCGGTCGAGAAATTTTTCTTTCTTTTTACAATTTTGTTTGGAGTCATTTTATGTCCTTAAGTACATTTTGATCTCAAAAATAAAGAAAATTCTCTTTTAAAAAAATATTTTGAGTATTTTCAAGAACTGAAGTGAAAGTAAAATTCAAAAATCAATTGTTTTGATGAAACTAAGAAGCTTATTGGACCATTTTTGTGAAAATTTTCATATTGAAAAATTAACTTTAAAATGACTCAAAACAAAATTTTAATAATGTTTCCTATTTTTTTTATTTTAAAATATCAAAAATGTTAAGCAATAATTGTAATGTAATGGATCAAAGATACCTTAAAGCTACACTTTTACACACATTTTCACAATACATACATACATACATAGACATGCATACACATACAACATATGAAACAATAATAGAAATAAATATATTAATTCTAATGATTACAAGTTTTAGGAGGAAAATGTTGTAGAAATAGTGAAATTAAGGTTGTGGATTTTTTGGTGTGATTTTATGGAAAATATTCTTGAAAATGACATCAAGGATCCTCTAATTCCAACTTTTACCTGTAAAAATATCCTCCAGATTCTCTTCAAGCAGAACAGAAACCATAGAATCATATAAGAACTACCTTACTCTCTTAACCAATCTATCAAAAAATCAGAGAAAAACTTTATACAAAATAAAAACCAATGAGAAATCCTTCTGAAATAATCAAAACCCTAAAACCATATATTTCTATCTCTTTCTATTCAATCCAATTTTTGTAGAAATTTAGATGATTTTTTCAAATAGGAATGGAAAATTATTTGATGATTTTTTTAGATATAATATAATTTAAATTGAGTTTTTAAATCAAAAATTGATGATTCGAAATTTTAAATTTTGATTTGAAATTTTAAATTTTTTTGAAAACTTATTTTTTCCTAAAATGTTCCAAAATCGATGCTCTTAAAAAATCGTTTAAATAATTTTCCAAACTTAATTCCATTCTTTTAAAAGAATCCCAATGACTCTAAACTAATGAATAGAAAAAAAAATCTTTATAAAAAAAATAGTAATTTAAACACATTTTTTAGAATAATGAACATAAAAAACTGAATTTTCCAGTGACTAAGTGAATGCAGTCATAAAGTTTGTTTAAATTTGGAGACCGACAGCATTCACTTCCTCACTGGGATACCAAAAATCACATAAAAATAAAACTGAATATTTGAAAAAAATTCAAATCAAACAGCTGAAGATTGTGGTGCTTTTAGTAAATGAAAATAAAACTAAGTGAAAATAGAAATAATTTAAATAATAATGATAATAATTAATGATAAACAAGCAGTAGCTTAACAATTTTTTTTCTCACACTCAGATGATATTTGATAATAAATGATAAAGAAAAAATATAATTGTGGATGAAAATATGCAAAAAAAAATTTCTATTGATAATAATAAAGTTTTTATACACACAGAAAAATAAAAAAAGAGAGAAAATTTTTTCATCCTTATTGATTGTTTGATGTTATCACAATGTTTTTTCATATATTTTGTACAGACTCAGCAATGCACATATGAAAAAGTATTTAGAATTAAAATCAATGTCATTTTTTTATACGGAAAAAAACAGAAAGAAAATTATTCTCATAAAAAAAAAATTGATGTCTGTGTTGAGTCAATGTGAAATTGTGGATGAAAATTCTCAACTTAATGTTTCTTTTTCTCTTTTTTAATGTTGATCTCTTCCATAATTTATAATCGTATAATCATCATCACATTGCACATTAAAATTCTCGTGTTTTGTGGAATTAAGAAGAATTTAAGATCCAAAAGTGATTGAATTCAAATTGAGTTTTTAAAAAATTCTTCAAATTCCATAAAACTTTCTCATTATTTCACCTTGCACTTCACCAAAATCTTACTTAAATTTTTCCTTTTTTAAATCTGAATTTTACCATTTTTTAAATAAGAAAATTAATACTTTGAAATTTACAATCTTATTTTAATTTTTTAAAATCAATAAACTTAAATTTTTTTAAATTTAAAACTCTTAAAATCCCACCGAACCCTCATTCATTCTCATCTTTCTCATTATTCACTCATAAATCATTCATAAAAACAACTTTTAGTTTATATTAAAAATATTATAAGTTTAAACTACGTTAAATTTAATTCAAGAGGCTAATTAAGTTACAATAAATTAAATTTTTTAAGAAGAGAAATTGTAAAGCGCATTCAATGAATGAAAATGATAAAGAAAATTCTCAAAATGAATTTTTTAATTTTAATTGAAGAAATTTGTTGAATTTTAATAAGAAAAAAAATGATATGAAATAAATGTCCTTAAATGAAATTTAAAAATGTATGTTTAATGAATTTAAATATTTACTGTAAATTGCTGACTTTTTGCAATTTATGCAGTGTGTCGAAATTGATGCTTTAAAAGTTACATAAAAAATATGCTTTTAATTAAATTACCAAAAAAAGAAATCAACCACTGAGAATTAAATGAATTGATTCACGTATAATTGGTGCCTTCCTTATAAAAATGTGAACAAGTATGTATGGGTAATTTATTAGAACTGGATTGTATTTATCTATAGTTATTTAAAAATAGTTTTTTTTAAATTATTTGAAATCATTTTTGATTTTTATCAACTTTTTTATTTTTATTTCTTTTCATTTTTACAATTTTTTTCAGTATTATTTTTTTTGTATTTTCAGATGATTTTTTGGTTTTTCAGTTTTTATTAAAATTATAATTTGAATGATCTGAAAAATATTATGAACTTCATTTCATAAAAAACACACTCGCATCTTTCACAATTTTTTCAATCGACTAAATGAATATATATAAAAGACATTTAGAAATTTATTTAAAGAACTGATAGAAATAACTTTAATTTCATCTGTTAAATTAATTAATTTTTTAAAAGAATCTATTAGAACAGTGCTAAGCATTATATTCATTAAAATTAAATGAAAAAATATTAATGAGGAAAACAAAACTCGCAAAAATTTAATGAAAAGTAATCAGTAAGTGGATAAAGAATGTCTCTAGTAGTGTTCTATTGAATCCTTTAAATTAGATATACTGCTGATTGTCTTCAAAGAAACTTCAAATTATTTTTGAGACACTTGAGACCCCTAGGGTGCTAAACCCCATGAAAAAGAAAAAAATTCTCAACAAAATTTTTTGTCAAGTTTCAAAAAAGACTAAGATTAAGAACCCGAATAAAAGTGGAGAAAAATTAACATTTTACCTTTTTTAATGTACCTTTTTGGATATGAAAAAATAAATAATAGAAACATAGTAAAACTTAAATTCTTAGTAACAACTTTAAAGGTAAATTGAATAAAATTCTTCTTTGCATATTATACATAAAAAAGCATTGATGAGAGAAATTAAAGTAACTGATTAACAATACCTAAGTAACAACAATACGAACATCATAAAATGTAGATTGTAGAAATTAAATCACATTGATTAGAGAATTTTCTACTAAAGACAAAAAAAACTTTATATTAAACTATTTAAAAAGCTTATTTTACATCCTGATATTTTGAATATTTTTCCTTTAAAATTAGTTTTAAAATTTACCAAGGGATGAAAATCTAATGAGCTAGTGCTATGAAATTATTTAATATTTTTAACTGAATTATGCAAAGTTTTGAAAATTTTTGCTGGAAAATTCAAAAAAAATTAGCTGTGATGATGAAATTTAAAGTTTGACGCTTATCGTCCCTTGGAGAGATTTTTTAAAATTATTATTTCCTTTGTTTTTAATTGTAAATTCTTATTATGTTAAAAAATAAATTGAATATTATTTTTTAAAATCTCACAATTAAAATCATAAAAATTTGTGCAAAAAAAATTGCTGAAAAAGTGGAATTTTTTTAATTTTGCATTCTCAGTCTTGCATGAAATAAAAAATAAAAATAAGAATAAATACTATTTTAATACATAAACTAAATTAAAATAATGATAATAATCGTAGCTGTAATAATTTAATTTTTTCCTATCAAGAAATCTGAGAAAAAAAATTCATAAATGTAAAAAAAAATCGAAAATTAAAAACTTTTGAAAAATATTGAAAATCAGAAAAACATTGTCTAAGCGGAAAGAAAAATGCATAAAAATGATCAAAATAAAAATGATGAAAAAAATTTGATTAAATTTAATTTAAAATTTTTTGTTTTCTTTTTACAAGAATTACAGGTTTCAACAGGTGTTATATTAATCATAGGATTTATTTTAATCTTACTCAAATCGAAAAGCTTTTAATTTAAATTCTTTTTCGAAAAATGATTTTTTAAAGCTTTGTAAAAGCTCAAAAAATTCAAAATGGAGCTTTAAACGATTTTTTAACTTATAAAAATACACTACTCATAAAGAGAGTCAGAATGACTTAATTTAAAAATGCAAACATTTATCTTATCTATTTACTTGTAAAGTTAATAGCAAATCTTTAATTAAACAAATCTTAAACAAATTTAAAACCAAAGCTGTCAGCCCACTGATGTAATATGAAGTTTAAATTATAACAAATTTAATTGTGCTTCAATTTTGTTTAAGAAATTAATAAATTTTACTTTAATTATTATTTAATGCAAAGTATTTTAAAAACTTTAATTTTTTTATCATCAAATGATTTTAGTAAAAAATGCAGTAAATTCAGCAACTTTATGTCATTTTTATCGTCACCAAATTTCCTTAAATTGAGTCGACTTTCAGCTAAATTCAATATAGTATTTTTGGTTGCTATCGAAACACTTGAAAATTACTAAAATGAAAATAATTCAAACGTTTTTTACAGCTTTGCTGGCATTTACTTGTAAGCATTAAATCTTGGTTAAACATAAGTTCCTATTAAAATATTTTATTAAATTATAGTGACTGCTAATGCAAGTGCTGGATCAACTAAAGAAAAATTTGAAAAACTTTTTCAAAACAGCGTCGAACTTAGTAGCACAATCGGGTTATTTTTCAAAGGTATTGATTGCTTTAAAACTGATTTGTCGTGGACATAATAATTGCTTTTTCTCGCAGAAACTTTTAAACCCCAATTAGGAAATGGATACTTTTACATTTCCAACTGCATAACTGATAAAATAATAACTTTAATGGCAAAAGGAACTGAACGACTTACTCGAATTGACTCAAATTACATTACTGAAGTTTTAAATGGACAGAACAGTTCACCATTCCAAAATAATCTTAACTGTATTAAAGATGGATTAGATAAAATGAGACTTGAAGTAGTTAATGAAAGAAATCTTGCAAAACAGTTTAAAAATGATCATGTTTTTCTTAATTGTAAGTACATCATAGTATTTTAAGTACTGTTAACTCTTCCGAATCAAACTTTCAGCAACAAGAAAAACGTGTGATGAATATGCAAACTACACAAAACCTTATCATACTTTTATATTTGAGGTTTATAATTCGAAAACAAAAGAACTAGGCTGTAAGTAACTAGAAGCGTGAAGAGATAAATAGATTTCATCATTAACTTATTTTTATAGTGTTCAATAACAAATTTAAGAATTTGGAAATGCTTGATTTATATCAAGAATTCCTGAATACCAAAGTAAATTGTGGCTTGGCAGCTGTTGGAATAGTGGCATCTAATATTGGACATGTAGATCAACAAGAAGGAATTGACTATTTTCTGGGAACAAGTAAAAATCTTTCGTTTCCATTGAATTGTATTTCAGATAGGTTTGACAAGGAAATCAGTTCAATCAAAGCTTTGTATGCTGAACTTTTGATGCAGTAATTTAAATCTACACGGCAATACGGCAACGTTTATTAACATATTAATGTTGAGAGTTATATTACATTTTAAAAGAATATCAGGAATTCAATAAAATTTTATTATTCAAGAATGGATTTTTTTTTCTTAGACCGGCCTTGTTTAAATTTTCTAAAAAGCACTCTAAAAGTTTTGATGGAAATAGTTGTCTTCAGACGTTCTATAAGCGTGGCGCTGGTGCCACGTGCCCACACCCGTTGTTCATAACTTCAATTTAAAAATGTTCGAATTGTTTTTTGGAGAATTTTAAATCGCAGTTTATAATTTGATCCCCCCCCCCCCCCTTCACCATTTTGTAGTTCATTTAAATTTAAGTTGATTTAATACATTCTTTTTATCAGTTTGTTTTCATTTCGTATCATATTATTACTTAAGGAAATGTATATTTATGTGTCTGCTACACATATTCGAAATTTTTGACATTTTTATCAAAACCGAAATTTGTTTAAATTGAGCGCTTAATTCTACTTTCAGTCAGTTTACATTTATTTAATTAACTTGTTGAAAACAATAAAAGTATTAAAATGAAGATTTTTACAAAGTTTTTATTTTTTGCATTATGTGAGTAAATTTGATAATTAAGATTTAAAGTAAAATCACTAATTGTCTTTCAGTGGCTTTTGGAGAGAGTTCTGTGTCAATTAAAGAGCAATTTGATGTTCTTATACAGAACAGTTTTGAAATTATTAATTCTACAGGAATCTTCGCAAAAAGTAAGTCTTTTAACTATTAAAAAGTTGGTTTAATTTTTTAAAATTTCAGAAAACTTTCTTGGGGCTTATGGAAATGGAAATGCTTACTCGCATAACCTACAAATTGATCATATAATAACTCTAGTGGCAAAAGGAACATGTCGATTGACAGGAATTGATTCGACTTATATTGTTGAAGTTCTTAATGGACAAAATCCACCACCATTCCAAAGTCAATTAAGCTGCATTAAAGATGGATTGATAGAAATGAGAAATGCTGTAATTAATGAAAGGAACACTACTAAGTTTTTCAAAAAGAATTTTTCAAAGCAAAAAAGTAAGTTCAACTTGATAACTTTTTTTGACATTTTACATAATTAATGCTCATTTTATTAACCAGCAAACACAAATACCTGCGAAGATTTTACTGCAGATATTGTGCCTCATTTTATCAAACTGAATGAAGTTTATATTCCTGAAATTCTAAGATTCCGAGGCAAGTTTTGCTGCACTGAAATAAAATTTCAAATTAACCAAAAAATTTAAATAATTTATAGAATTCATTCCAATTTTTGAAAGCTTGAACATGCTTGACTTATTTGTAGACTACTGGAATGGTAAAACTAAAGCAGACATTGAATCAACCGCAATCATTACAGCTGATTTAGGTCATGGAAATCATCAAGAATTATTAGATTATTTCAACGGAATTAGCAACAATCTTACTTATCCATTGACCTGTATTAGAGAAATCCTTGATTTAGGTATAGCTAATATGATAACGGGATATGGTTCAGTCATAGATGATTGTAGTAAATAATGATGAAATATTTTGGAAATTGTGGTTGAACACGGCATTAAATTGCATAAATAAAGGGAATTCAATAAAATTTTAAATTCATAAAATAAAACTAGTTTTTCAATAAATTCAAAAAATATTTACTGGACTGCATCAACACTGTTCATGATCATGGTCTTGAGACTGAATTCTAATTCAACTTTAGTATTCCGACAAAAAAAGCTTTTCAACCGAAAAAGCTCAGAAAATTTAAAAAAATTCGTTGGACTCAATCAAAGCTTGATGTTCAAATTGTAGCTGAAAAACTTTTAAGAATTTGAAAACTTAATTGGTTTTTTGCAAAAATAAAATTATCATAAATCAGTCCAAAGCTAGATAAGCAAAAAAAATTGCACAATTTATTATAATTTTGTGTGGTTTATTAATCCTTTGTATTCTTATCATAGCATTAGAAAATTATGGTAATATCAATGCTGTAATAAACTAAAATTTTGACATTTTCAGAACCGTCAAATTTAATATAAATTGAAGTAATTTTTTTAAAAAATATGACAATTCGACTTGTTTCTAAAACTAAACAAGGTACTGAAATGAAGATTTTTCAGTTATTTTGTGTCATTTGCGTAATGGCTGCTTGTAAGTTAAATATCAAAATAAGTTTTTAATTTTATGACTTCTTTAAAAGAGAATGAGGCGGGAAGTCTTAATTTTAAATTAAATAATCAACCACAAACTATTAATTCAAACTTTGTCCTCAGGTACAGAAAGCTCTGGAGATTTCGATATCCTTTTCGAAAGCTCCTACAAAATGCTTACATCAAAAAGAGAACTTTTCAAACGTGAGTAAAAAATTCTGATTTTTAATTATTTAATAAAATCATATTTTTCTTATAAAAATGAACAGAAAGTAATATTGAGGAACAACAAAATGGCCTTGCATACGCTTATGATGGATTTATGGATCAGCTAACAATTTTGATTGCAAAAGGAACAAATCGAATTACTGGAATTGACTCAAACTATACAACGGAAGTACTTAATGGTGAAAATTCTCCTCCAATTTCACTCACTTGTGTTAAAGATGGATTGACTGAATTACAAGAAGAAATGCACGAGTCAAGAAAATTATCTAAATCTATGAAACAGTCATTTAAAGCACCTGAATTGACTTTGAACACATGCGATGATGCCACTAATGCTGTTGTACCCCATCTGAATATGATACTGACAGCTTTTGGCCCTTTTGTGGCAAACTACAAACGTAGGATTCACTAAATTTGATGATTTTAAAGAATTGAATTAAAAATTATTATTTTAGAGTATGTTGGAACTTTTGACAGCCTCAACATGCTTGATTTATTTACAAACTTTTGGATCTCGAAGGGAAAATTCGATATGGAAGCGATTGCAATAGTCACAGCTAATGTTCTCAATGCGGATCAACAAGACGCTGTAGATTATGTCAATGGATTTAATAAGACGCTATCATTTCCATTAAGTTGTGCGGCAGATGCTCTTGACATGTGCGTGAGCCAAATGAAGATTGTCTACGAGTGTGTTTTAAAGAATTGTTAAATTTGTTTAATCGCAATGTATTGAAACTTAAACTATTCATGCTTAGATTTTGACATATCAAATAACTTCAAATATTTAACTAGATTTTAGAAATTCAAACTTAATTTATTGCCACATGATTAACCAAAATCATCATCAATTTTTTGAGAATTTTCACAAAGCTGTTAGTTCTGCAAATTTAACACATTAACTATCGAAATAAAATGAAAACATTGAGCAACAACAAAAATTCATAACGATTCAAAACTCTGCAAATTATTGAAAAATTTCATAAAAACCAGCAAATGAGGAGTGCAATTTTAATAATTGGATGTTTTCATTTTTCCCATCGAATTAAGCTCTTTCACTTTTTTTGATGATCCCATTCAATTTCATTATTTTTTTTTTTTGTATTCATAAGAAAACAAGCAGTCAGAGCAATTTCATTATAACCTGAAAATATTGCCAAGTAAAAAGGCATTAACAGCAAACATAATGTATGAAATGTGATGAAATTGAGAGAAATTTTGAGAAATTATTCACGCGCTGAAGATTTCAATGAAAGACAATTTTCGACGGGGATAAGCTGCATGTGTGAATTTGGTAAGGTTCAAGCTGGTTCAAAGTTCAAGCAGGAATGTATCTCAAGTATGATCTCAATGAATACAGCTTCGATAGCTTCTGATCGAGGGACGGATTTAGCCCCTAGCCTATCTTTGGCACTAGCCAGAGGGGGAGGGGGGGGGAGGGTTGGTTTTCAATATATTCAAAGGATGGTTGGTTTATTTTTCCAAGAAGTTCTGTCCCCATTAGACACACCCTCCTGGCTACCTTCATGAACTGTCATCGATAAACATTCAAAATTCTAAAATCAACAAATTAATTCTTCATCCGCCTTTACGACCTTAACAGTTACATTCCTCTCCAGAAAAACAAATGAATTTTAATAAAAAAAAAACAAGTTATTGAGAATCGTGCATAATAATCAAATAATCAAATCAGTCAGCCCATTCATTCAAGTTCCCGAAAAAATAAAAAAAATTTACGAGAGAGCGGATAGTAAATAAGAAGAGAAGAAAAGGCAACAAAATTGAAAGTGTTACATTGACCCTGTATAGTGAGAAATAATAACAAAAGACATGAATGCCTGTATGTACGCATGGTGTATATGAATACTAATAATAATGATCATAACGATGATGATGATTGTATTGTACATGGCAGCATTAAATCGTAATTGTATATAACAGTGATGTTTGCAAGGTAATGGCGCACAGCTGGCTACAGCAAAGAAAAAAAAAGATTAATTTCCTCACTCAATTGAATCTCCCTTTTTGTCTCATCTGAGTGATCAAATATTTTTCTCATAAGTTTCTATAATCAGACATTTACAGCTTAATGTGAGAAGAAAAATAGTTTTCGCTTTCATTCAACTTCGGCTAGTTTTATTGCAATTTTTATATTAACAATAATGCATGTAATTATGCAATTGATTTTAGTCGTTTTCATGCATGATTTTCGAATCTTTTTATAGCATTTATTGAATTAATATAAATGAGAAAAAAATTTCATGTTCACTTAAATACTTTTTGCTTACTCTCATATTAAAAATGCTTTTACAGGTGCAATTTTAAGGTGATTGTGAGTTGTTGAGGTGTGGTTTGTCTAGTAGTCGTGTTGGCTATTGACAATCTTAGTTGGAATTTCTTAACAATAGCAGCATAACACAGAGAGGCGGTCCCAGTGTGGTCTTGATGAGCTAGGACCTTCAATGTTCTATACTTAATTCTAAGAATTCATTAAAATTCATTATTTTTCTCTAAATATTCAAAGCCCGCCAATTACTAGTCAAAAAACTAGTTTTAAGTTTACAATAATGAATCGAAAATCACGAACTTGACGCAAAGCTTAAATAAAAGGTGCTAATCAGTGTTGCTAACTTAACATGTGAATAATTACATAAATTTATATTGACAATGATACGTCTATGTTGTCACACATCCATCTTCATAGTCATAGAACTCAGTAGAGTGACAATTTCATTCAAGACTTTACAGCACAACAACATACCAAATAATAAATATCAATTCAGAGGAAAAATCCCCAAAATAAGCCCACACAAACCAACTTAACCTCATTTACATTTCTGTAAGTGTCTCCTGAATTAGGTCAGCCGAAAAGTTCGAGAAAAGAGAAAACAATCGATATCCCAAAATAAATGTTGTAACTTCAGGAATGCGCCTTTTATCAATATTTCATTCACATTTATTGACCTCTTTACCAGCTTCTTACCTTGTTCACAAAATTGAGAATCCACACGATGTTCACTTTACTTTCGATTTCTGCATGAAAAATAAAAAAAATATTTTTTCTTCTCTTAAGAAAAAAAAAGAAAAAAATGCTGTCGACACAGCAGCAAACAGGCACATTAAGTTAGTCAATCTTGAGCCATCGTAGCGTACAGTTGGTTTGAATTTAAGCGTGTATCGGTGGATCAATTGTTAAATAAATAATAATCAAATAATTAATTGTTTTTATTTAAATAAGAAGACAATAGCTTGTTAATTAGTGCTGAATACATCCAAAAAACTTTATTAAGCACCAAAAAAAAAATATTAAGTGTCAAAAAAAATAATCAAAAATGCTCAGTCGTCTCCAAGCAATCAAAAGTTTGATTGCGACCTTACCGCAGTCATCAAATGTCCGATCAATCGCAGCATCAATGCAGTTGCATGAGAAAATTATGGTCAAAACGGAGACTAAAAATGAATGGAATCGAGCATTGAGTGAAGCTGAGAAAATTGTCGGATATCAGACGTCTTATTTGAGTTTGAGATATTTATTAAGTGATGAAATCACAAACCTTGCCTTACATATGCGAAAACTTGTTGGAAGTACTCATCCGCTTGTGTCTACTGGAAAGTAATGAGACAATCTTTTTTTTCTAGTTTGAATAATGGAATTTGTTGTGTACTTTTTGAGGCACTTGCTATGGACGTTAAAGTTGTTTCTCGGGTGGATTTTGAGATTGAAATTCCAAAAAAAGGAATTTTAAATTTTTAAAAAAATTACTTTTTAAATGAAATTTTTTTAAAAATTTAAAGTTTTTACATTTTTAAAATTCAAATTTTTTCAATTTTTTGAACTTTTGAATTTTTTCAATTTTTTCAGTTTTTTTAAATTTTTAACTTTTTAATTTAATAATTGAATCAAAATTTCACTCAAACGACTAGAAATAAAATTAAAAAGTGAATGAAAAAAATTACCTTATTGACATTCATCACGAAAAAAAATGTACAAAGTGTTGGAGACAAAATATTAAACAATTAGAAATCAACGATTGTACGCATACTGTGCATATTTATTTTCAATTTATATTCATCTAGTATTTGCTGAGTGTTTGCAAACAATGAGCCCCTCAATTTGTGGTTTTGTGAATTTGAAAAATTACTATATTAAAATTAACGGACATGAAATAATGACAGATGAGTGACAAAATGTGAAAAAACATGATAAAAATGTGAAAATTGAAGAAAACTTTAAACTTCCAGGTTGACTTAAAATCAGAAAATTATAATTAAAAATATTAAATTTTCTTAAATATTGAATTTGAATTTTCTTAAAAATATTGAGTGACTTGGACCCCCCCCAAGAAATTAGTTGATTAATAAATTTAAATCGCACGGAAGTTAAACAACTGTCTTTCCAACAATGATGAATAATTTCTGTTGAGTTTGATGACAGTAAATATTTGAATATTTGATGTGTCAAAAATAGGTTTCGACATCCTGATTTGAATATTTTGTGCATTAAAAGTGGAATTTAAAATATTTTTCCTGCCGATTAGTGTCGATTTTTAAAGGTAGATAAAAACTTGAACCATCTTACCAAAGTAGAGTAATTGGATCCTCGTGGATGACAAATTTTTTTTTATAGTGATGCGATAATTAAGGCGGATTGGAATTTGTTAAAATTGGAAAGCTTAATAGTTTATAATTAAGAACTTTGTGTGATGCGAATTTTTGTAAGTTTTAAGTCAAGTTTTTGGACGACTTACAAGAAGGGTCATTGTACATAGTCATTGTTTATGGACGACCTTTCATGATATACCTAAAATACCTTGCACTTGTTGACACACTTTCGAACAGTTTGCAATTCCACTAAATTATTCATCTTCATGCCACAAAAGTTAAAGTTCATTAGCACACATGTGAATTTGCAAACTTAATGCATTTAAACTTACAAATTATGATGCATTTGATTGTTTTGTTTAAAACTTGTAGGCTTGGTTCACTTAATATTAAAGTACACGATTTAATAATGACAGTGAGCCGGAATCTACTGTTATTTAACTTACTTGTCTCACATATATGCATGAATAATCAAATCTGCATACCTTAATTTGTCATCATGGGAAAGTTTTTTTTAAAAAAATAAATAAAACTCATTCGTCACTTTTGTTGATTAGACACTAATCATTATGCTTATTGGAATTTGCACATTTCAGTTCCTTCCTTCAACCTGAAAATTAAAGTTTGAAAGTATTTTATGTACAGATAATCTCCAATGCCAATCAAGCATACCACAAACATTCAGAACATCTAATCTTAACTCCACTTAACTCACTCTACATTAAACAAAACTATCTCCACCCAAATCATATTCGTAACGGATATGCAAATAGAATACTTAAGTACAAACATTTTTTTCTGACATTGGATTGCTCTAAAAGTTTTTCAATTCCTACTCTTAACTCAACATTTCATCACGTCTGTTAGATGAATTAAATGTTTTATGATCAAATGACTTGAAAACGTACTGACCGTGATTTATAGCAAGATGTCGTTAATTTTTATAATCCATGCTGCATTGAATACTTACCAAAAAAATTCTTCTAGGTCTTTAATTTACGGACAAAATAATATGCAGACATGGGGACTTATAGTTCTACTCGTCTCAAAGATGGCGGGATGTGCTGATGGAAATTTCGAGTCAGAACAAGACAGAAGTGCTGGTGTGTTGGTGACACAAAGAACTCTAGCAGAAGTTGTCGAGATGGTCAGAACAGCGAACATGATTCATTCAATTGGAGTTCTTAATTTGCAGCACCTTCAACAATCAGGAAACGATTTATCTTTCGATTCTGACTTAATTTTCGGAAATAAAATAGCTTGTAAGTATGCCATGGCCGGTGCTTAATTTGATGATTTTTAATATTTATTGGATGATGACTTGAATGTGGTACTTAATTGTGTTTATACTGTTTTAATGAGTGGATTGTGTGTCTAGTGACTGAATTATTTTCTTATTCTATTCCAAACTTGATCATTCATAAATGACGTAGAATGTTATGGTGGGGTTGTGTTCGGGTCAATTTGACATTCCATTCATTCTTTAATATTCTTATGTGACGTCATTTATGATCGACCCCTTAAGTCGTTTAATATTTTTAACCTTAATCCTTTCTCTCAATTCACAGTACTCGGCGGTGATATTTTACTCGGCAATGCATCAACACAAATGGCTCAATTAAAGTGAGTATACTTAGTCATGGTTGACTAAGACCTCACATCAATGTCTAATTTACCATTCCAATTTTTTTTTTCTTACACAATCTTAGAAATCAAGAGGTCGTTGAATTGATGTGTACAGCTGCACGAGACATTAGTGATTCACATTTCATTGGCGATCGTGATATACAAAATAATCCATTGCCAATGAATCCAATTAAAAAAGCTGAAGAAATCAGAAACTACCCAAATGTTGAAAATGAAGTGCAAGTTGATGAAATTGACAATAAGAAGCCGTTCAGTATGAATGCAATTATGGGCGGTCCAGAAAGTGAATGGACGATTAGACACACGTTGTCTAATGGAACTCTCCTTGGCAAAAGCTGCCAGAGCGCATTGATGTTGGCTAAACAATCACCAGAACTTCAAAGACAAGCTTATTTCTTTGGTAAACATTTGGCATTAGCTTGGCAAGCAAGCATGGACTTGGAACCATACAAACAAGAACTTCCACTCGGACATAAATTAAGTCTTGTATCAGCACCAATACTGTTTCATCTTGAATATGACAATTCACTTTATGATGAGATTAAGAAAGGAGCAGAATCTATTGATGATGTCAATTACTACAAACTACACAGGGAAGTATCAAATGGACCAGGAATTGAAAGAACAAAAGAGTTACAGAGTAAACACACATTAGCAGCTATGACAGAACTTTATAAATTCCCAAAATCAGATGCTAGAGAGGCACTTGAAAAAATTATTCTAGCAATGCAAGAAGACTAGTGCTTGAGATTTTTAAAAACCTAAAACTTAATTTAATTCCTAATAATTTTAAAATTTTGTATTTATAAAACAATTAAATTTCATCAAAATCAGCCGCAAATCTTCCAAAATTTTGATAAATTTATAGGTTAGGTCCAACCACATTTTAAGCGTGGAAATTGGTCCAAAAAATTAATTTTTAATGAAGAACTCCAACTTGTGTACAGTTTTGAGCTGGATAGTCTTACTGATTGTTATCTAGTACCAGAAAATAAAAAAAAATCCTCAGATTGAAGTGTAAATTAATCCGAGTGATTTGAAATAATTTTAATAAATTTTAATGTAAGGCTGACGAAGCCTTGAATAGATATCCATAAAAAAATTATTTAAGTGATTGTTAATTGATATAAAATGATTTATTTCTGTTAATTACGGAATGAAAGTAAAATTGTAATCAATTTGTTTTTATATGTCATGTATATAAAATCGTGAATTTTATGGCTATAACTGTAGGACATTAAAAATGTATGTAGCATGTGTGTTTTGTACTGTTGTATAGTAAATAAGAGAAACTTTCTTGTTGTACCTAAAATAAATTAAATTTTTTTTCACCCAAACAATTCCCTTCTTTATTAAATCTTGTTGTGACACTTCCGATGATTCACCAGAAGTGTTTTTGGATGTAATAAAAATGTATTTTCATTTGACTGAAAAGAAGACACACGAAAAAATAATTTTGTCATCACATTCGAGATATTTCCAGTGCTGCTGATTCGAAATAAAGAAAAAATATTCGAAAGTTATTGGAAAGATAAAAGATTTCATTTCTCATTAAGTTTCTCATTTTACCGTCAGGCGATCACCTTCGAAATAATAATTCACTTCCATATAAAGAGTCATACTGAGTTATGTACGCAATTTAGGTTTATGTCAAGTTTAGGGTTGTTGACTCATAAGTCAGTCAGTGATTTCAACATGCACAAAAACTGTTGTAGATATGAAATTATGATGAAAATCATTCCGCATGTGATTATGTGTTGGACAATAAAACTCAACCAAGTTTGGGGTCCTTCACTTATGATGTCCAAAGTTAATGGTCATTTTTCAAAAAGAACAATGGATTTTCTGAAATTTTTATTGTTCTTATCTTGCTTATCTTCATCCCACCCCCCCCCCCCCCCCCCCCCTATGGACGTCATAAGTGAACTTCCCCTTGTGTTAATGAATTTAAATCTTTTGATCAATTGATTGAAAAACAGATGTAACAAATGGAAATTAGGAATGCAAATGACTTTAATTGATCAAGAGGACTTGATGATGGATGCTTGTTTTTTTATGAGAGTTGTTGGAACTTAATATCAAAATGACTGTTGCATTGAAAAATGAATGTAGTTTTTACAATTTGACGTTCAATGTTCGATATGAACCTTGACCACGGCACCCATAAAATACTCTGTTTTCTAGCAAACATGTACTTTAACTATGCAAACATACACAATATTTTAAAACCCAATGGAAATCTCCAAAAATTGACCAAAAAGAAGACGCTAAGTAAGTGAAAAAAGAAATCACGAGAGTATCTGTAAAGTCATATGTTTAATACACGCGATGCGGATGTGTTGTTGAAATTATGAAACTTTTTTAAAGACCATTTAACACAAAATCTTCTAAGTTTTTGACTAATTTGATGACAAAATGACGCAAACATAAGACAATAATAGATTGTGCTAATTTTTATGCAACTTTGTTGGAGTTTAACAGTCACCTGCACGTGGAAGTGATAAAATTGACTGTTTTGCTGCTCATATATACAACTCGCAAGGTTATGATGTTAATCTGCACATTCTCAAGTGGGTTTGGTTCAGCTTTTTTGATGAAAAATGATGCATCATTAAAAATTTTAGAAGGGAAGCTTACAAAAAATGACCAAAAATCTCACACATAAAATCAGTGCCATGCCTCAGTACATCATACATTGGACAGCAAACAATAAAATTTCTCGCCCATATTTGCTCAGTTCTTCAAACTTTTCAGAAACAAGAAATCAATATGCTGTATTTAAGCGCCCTACATACAATCAGCTCACACTTCTCATTTCTTTCAGATCCAAAAACTCACAAACTGGAATTTAAAAATTTTTCATTTCTTTAACAACAGCAAACAGCTAGAAAAAGAAGATTTCATAGGTGCCACTTTTTTTCCGTCATACAAAAGAAAATAAGGTACACAATAGAAATGAGATGAATATGATTTAAATTTATGCGTATTTAAAATTATTTTACAGTTCTTTCTTTTTATTGGTCATTGGAACTAGAAAATAAAAAAAAATATTTGAATTTTGTGTCACAAATCCAATGACGGTTTTATGGTTACAGCAGTCGTATGTACATTATTATTTATTTGACTAGATTACATCATCAATTTACATAGAAACTTAACTTAAAATTTGGATATTGTCATCAGAAGGGTCGATTAAAAATGATGTACATCAGATTTTTGAAGCTTCTCATGTTCAAAAACTTCATTTCATCATTTCACACAGCTCCCAAACTTTATTGTTTTTTGGAGAATCTGTGACGTAATAATCACATGACCCCAACAAGCACTTCGAGGAAATCAACCAAACCCTCAAATCACACTTCAATCAACAACATCGGTTTCTTCATCCTCATCGTCCTCACAAATATCATCATTCGATGACCCTGACGATGCCGGTGATGATAAAAGTGTCAAATCTTGAGAATCTTCCTGTGGTGTTGCTGGATTTCCATTAACTATCAACACATCGGCATGCTTAAGCTGCACATGTCGCTGTAAGTCTCTTTGTTTTAAGAAATTTTTATTGCAAATATGACAATGGTGAGCACTTGATGATGACGATGAGTTTTCAGATGACGTACTGTGATCATTGGAATGTTGAGTATGCAGTCTGATGTGTTTATTCAAATTTGATGGATCACCGAACGGTCGAAAGCAAAATTTACATTTTAATGGCTTAAAACCTGTTTGGAAGTTAAGAAAAAAAAATTAATTGACAAAATTATTAAGTTTTTCTTATTGCTAATTTTTTCTTTTTTGCTGGATGATTTTTTTTGCGGTAATTCTTTCATGTTTGTGAATTTTAAGTCTCGCGACCATGAATTTAACAAGTGAAAACAATTTAATCTTTGTAAATGTTAATGAACGTATGCTTTTGGGGTGATTTTGTCAGGAATTTAAGATTGTTTCGTTAAGCTATAGATTTATTGGGTATTTTTATAATAGATTCTGATTAATACTTAATAAAGCTACACTGTCTTAGGAGTTAGTTGAACATGGACACACTTAACGGTTAAAAAAATGTAATTTTTTGCAATTTATTGTGAATTGTTTTTATGAGATTGTTCTCAAGTTTCATGACCACCCCTCCCCCCCCCTCCCTCTTCCACTGAGCATGTGCATCATCAACCTGACAACATTTCCATTAAACCCCTATCATTACTAAAGCCGCTCATATTCCTTTGATGTATGTCGATTAATAGAAACGACGTTAATTCAAATCAAACATTTGCAAATCTATACAAATTTAATCTGTCTACTAATTAATCTATCAATTAACTAAGAAATTATTGAGTCTCTGAAATGTATTGTGCTCATATTTGGACATGAGCAAAATCATTTGCTCTTTTTATTTGACAATTTCTAATTTTAATGTCATTGTGATGATGTTGTTTGGCAAATAAAAATTAATTGATTGAAAATTGATACATGAAGCTGCAAAATTGACATTTTAAATTCGATAATTGCTCTAATTTATTTTCAATAAACTTTTGGATGCTGTAAAATTCGACATTTTTAAATAAAAAACTTAAAAATCATCTGAATATGTAGATCAGTTGTTCTCAAACTGTGTGCCGCGAAAAAATTTGATTGCAAAAATTCACCCTTTATGTTCATGTTTTGTGACTACAAAAAAATCATGCAATTCATTTAGTGTGCACGGGACTATTAGGAGTGTCGTGGACAAGAAAAGTTTAAGAAACACTGGAATAGAAATTCGAATAATCACAAAAATATAAAGCCATTCATATAATGAATCCTCAGCAAAGATCAATTAACATTCATTGTAAATTAATTAATAACTCAAACAAGAAGCTTACCTGTATGTGTTCGAATGTGAATTTTAAGACCTAAACAGACATAAAAGAAGAAAAAAATTGTAATTCAACTCCGCAGCAACAATTTATGTCTTATTTAATGCTTACCATACTTCCGTGAATAAAGTTTACCGCAATAAATACACAAATGTCCTTGCTTACTCGTGCCCATATTGCTTACTATTGTTTCGAGATGTGCAGCAGCGGCAAGTGCTGAATCATTGACGCTTGACGATTGCGGCATCAATGGAATTACAGCCGATGTTGGAGATGATCTCGGACTTGTTTTCAATTGAACTGGTTGAAATGCTGAGAACCTGTGATGATTTGTGGCTGCTGTTGATGTCGATGACTGTTGCAGTAACAATTGTGGATTTCCATGAATAAAGCCATGATGATGATGATGAAATGGATTGAATATTTGATCAAAATTTCTTGAATGAATCATCAATTTTCGTTGATGCCTTGAAAGTAGCTCAGCTTGAAGTCTCTTCCATATAATATTCTCATCAAACTGATCGCAATTTCTTGCTAGATGTAATTTCAATGGATTTGGATACTCATAAATACGTCCGCAGTGATGGCAAACATATTTGGATTGACCTTTATTTTGTAAGCACACACAAGAATTGACGATTGGTTCCAAAAGGCATGAATGAACGATTCATAAAAGAAAGAGAGAAAATGTATGAAAAATTAATGACAGATTATGAAAGTTTCACTTCTGAAGATAATTTTTGAGGGCATTGTTGGAGAAACTTTGTGATGTGGCACCTATGGATGGCTCTTACAGTGACTAGAGTCTGGAGAATCTTACAAATTAAAATTCACTTAACCAAAAATACCAAGAATTTAAAAAGACTAGTTCCCAATTAAACAACAGATTAAGCACATCTGGATAAAATCCACACAAAGATGAAAAATATCTTTCTGCAACATTGTATCCAAAACATATCTTGAAGATAATTTTTAAAAGCCATTTCAACTTCTTTTCTTTCTATCTTTTGTCTGATTTATTTTGAGCTATTGAGGCAATTGACTAGGTTTGTTGCTACTAAGTATCAAATTAAATTATGCCTATTCATGGCGATAGAAATTGAAAGTTTCGAGCATTTTAAAATTAATCTTATGAGTATGTACGTAGATTGAAGTATTAATTAGAGTTTATGCCAATTTTTTTGGAGAGTTTTGAGAGATTTGAATGATTTTTGGGTGGTGCTGGATTAATGATGTATGATAAACGTATGTAAATAGATTCAGTGTTGGAAACGAGATGGGATGAAGGAAGTGACTAATAAAGCCATCCCAAAATTTTAAAAACCATACTAACCTTGAATATTTCCAGGAATTAAGAACGGAATGCCCATAAAACTAATAACTTCTTCTGAAAACCACATTAAAAGTTCGTCATTTGAATTAATTGACTTTATTGCCTTTAGTTCGACTCTATCTTCATTAAAATGAAGCATAACATTTGCACTCGGGATATTATCAGCAATTTTAATATTTTTGATCCAAAATTTGTTCCTCAACATTGGTTCCTGAGGAATCATTATGCCTTCTATTGTATGTGGAATGATTGAAAATACTTTTGGGGAATTATTGTCAATTTGAACTTGATCGAAGCTGAATTGATGCGATCCTGAATTTTTAGCTATGAATTCATCTGCTGTTACACAAATGTCGCTATTGTTATTACTTGGTGAGCTTCTTAAGATGCTCTCGATTTCAAATTGAGTGTGTCGATGATTTCTGTCATTCTCGACTATTTTTGAATGGAATTTGTTGGAACCATTGTTGGATGTTTCGAAGACAAGATGGGATGCGATTGGAAACATCTTAAGATTTTTGAAGGTTTTTTGGAATTTTTTGATTTTTTATATTAATTTGAATTTTTTTCAATAATTTGAAATTTTTTTAAATAATTTTAATTTTTTTTCCTATTCTGAAATTTTTTAAAATTTCGTCCAGTCAACTTTATAATTTTCTACAGCCAATAAAGTCTTTATTTTTCACAATTAACTTCCAGTTTTTAATTTATTTTTAATTTTTTTCTACACAAAATTCACCACTTTTAATAAATTTCCACTTTTTCCTCAAAACTTCATCCTTCAACATCGAAAACTAAATCACGTCTGATGATCGTCCTGGCAATGTGACTAAATTTTATAATCAAAAAATCAACTTTGCATCCTTACGAGGGTGCAGCATGTGGAATATACGCAGATTTCCATGAAAACAGCAAGTGCATAAAATCTCACGCAAAATTCCTTTGAAAAATTTCATTTTTTTCTAGCTTACAAAAACTGTGACTAAATAATTAAACCATTTATTGCAATGGTGAGAGGACATAAAAGTTCTGAAAGAGATGGAAAGAGATTTAAAAAGCATGTTCATAGTGCTGAGATTTAAGAATTCTTTTGATAGATTTAAATTGTCAGTCTGTCACAAAATCCCTTATAAATCCTTGTTCCTGAAAATTCTTCCAAACTTACATCCCTCTCCCTCTAATAGCTTTCTGTAATATTATAATTGCAATGTTAATAAAATAAATAAACACCACCCCATTGGTATAGTCAGTAAGTAAATATACTACACTTCATGCACCATCATTCATACTTCTGTACTGCACATACCAAATGCAAAACCTGTGCAATTCCAACAACCCTCATGATTCCAGACATTTAAATGTCTAATCAGAATCAATTTATAGCAAGTTGGCTTTTTAAATGGAATTTTAATGTATTTTGTTTATCTGATTGGAAAGCAATAGAGTTCTAAAAAGGAGGGAGGTGCTGTGTGGTTTGTGCTTGTGTTTGTGTTAAGTACGAATTTTTTTTGTGATGTGTTGTATTGCATTATGATCTTTAGTTCCGATATCATCTCGATTTACATCCATGCTCCCTCCTGTTGCGGATTTTTAATGTTTTACAAAAGAAAAGTTGATTAAATAATTCGTCGTGTTTTTTGTGAACTCACGGCTTGACAGTGATTTAGAACAGAAAGTTTGAAATTTTGCTGATTGAGGTTAGGTTATGAAAAGTGGACCTACTAGTTTTTTTGGTTAACTGTCAATAATTGACACTGAATTAGCCATGTCCTACACCCCAGCTAGGAATTTGAAGAGTGGAGCAGAAAAACCCTAGCAAAATGAAGAACTCCCCCCAGGCTTTGAACCTGGCCACAATAGCCAGTTCATTGAAGAACCCTATATTTGGCGCCAAACTTATCTTCACTATATTCAAAAAGGTTCCTGACACACAGCAAGTCAAGACTGCACGTGTGTTTTTATTGAGATCCCAAAATAACACATTACAAGCATTTAAATCTCTACTCCGTACCGAGGGTGAACATTCAATCCACTCCTCTCCTTTGTAATGTAATAAGGTGCTTACATGATACATACCCATTGCCCTAATATTGTGACTCGACTGCATTTCAATATATTTAATTGTGCAAACACAAAACACATGTTTTTCACGATCATTTTTCACACAAAAGTGCACAAATACATCGTAGCTTCATACTGTTCACAGTTTGAGTAAATGAAAAAAAATGTGTAAATCTGATTATTGAATTAAAAGGATTTTTTTTTGTGATTAGATTTCATTGTTTATTTAAATATTATGTTTATTTCAACAGATGAGGATAGATGGCAGATATGATCGAGATTGAGATGGTCCTTTAAAGATAAGCAAATTCAAAAGGTTTATGATGATTGTAATTTTGCGACCAATTGAACCGCAAAAATTCAATTCAGTCATCACTAATTAATGCATGCAACATTAGCTACATTATGCAATTAATAAATGCAGCATCATCTGCCAAAAAAATTAAAATATGTAGGACGAAATGGAAAATTTATCACAATTGAGATCAAAAACACTTGTTACATGACACAGAATTTCTCTTTGCAGATTAGTTTCGTTGTGTGTATTGTTCATGTTAAATGCATGCGGGATTTGGTAGGAAGAAAGTTTTCGACCTGCCTCAACCATAAAACCTTCGGTGCTGTAATGGATGGAGATTTGTTGATGTTATATAATTTTGGGGATGTGTTGGAAAGGACGCAAGAGTAATTAATATTCCGAAATGTCAGAAGGTTTCTAAGGATAGAGCTGTCTTTAGACGATCTCTAAATGCGGAAATGGGCCCACGTGTGCTTTAGCAAAAGAAGTAAGTAAGTATATAATTTTGGAGAAATTAAAATTTTTTCAAATTCTTCAATTAATGAGTATCTACATTAGCTCATACTAAACGAGCACAAAACTCTAGTACGATCCAGTTCCATCATCTCCAATCCCTAAATTATTTTGCACTGCAACACATTTTTCTAACTTTACAGTCATTCCCTACCATATCAAATTGTGACCATCATTTCATGTGATGTATAAAGTCATTACAGCAAAATCCACAAGCCGTGCAATTCTCAAATATATTTAATCAATTCTTCACGGCTTCATATCGTTCATTGAATATTAATAGTTGTGTCACTTGGTTGAATGATGTACATACATAGCTCAGACAGGCATGAATGAATTTCTTTAAAGTTCTTGTATTAAAAAATGTTTTTTAAATTTTTTTGTTTGCTTTAAGTTTTTTTTTATTATTTTGCATCAATAGTGGCTTGAGAAACGCATCACATGGCAGTTCCACTTGTTTTTTCAATCTGGTTCTATAGAGTGTGTAGAGAGATGTTTAATATTAAAGACTGAATGAGGATAGATGAGGGGAGTTTGCTAATTTTTTGGGAAGTAATAAATTTTGCTGTGGATTTTGTTGGCAAGAGCGCATTTTTTGATGGTATAATGTCATGCGAATCTTTGTCATAAAGACAAAACTCTTTATAATGATTGAGAGATCGGTCTGTGGTAGGAATTGAACCTTCGTCCTCATGAAGGTGGAATTTTTTTATCTGGATCGTTGCTTAATAACTCGCGCAACAAGCTTAACTCTCCTACTGGCATATTCGCCTATAAATGGCTTGATACCTTTGATCCACTTTGCTCCGACCCGTATGGCATTTAAATACTAAAACGCAGGTTTTTAAAATTTATTCAAAAAATACTTAAATGAAAAAAAAAATTTAAAAAATTGAAATTAAAAAAATTTTAAAATGAAAAAAATTTGAAAAAAATAAATTTGAAAAATTGAAAAAAAAAAATAACTGCCAACATGACAAAACAATGAACATAAAACTTATTTTTAATCCCTAAAACACTTAAAAATCAAGCATTTAAAATCCACTACGAAAAAATCTTATTTTTTTCATCCCTCAAATAACAAAAGAATATTTTTAAATAAAATAAATTGTAATGGATTTCTAATATTATCTTAATACAACTCAGTTGCTTGAATCAACCATGAATAAAACCAGGACGACCACGAGAAAAAAGCAGGTGTTACCATAAAACTTTGTTTTAATTTGAAACGCAATTTTGCACACACATATACATAAATAGATGGAAGTAAGGGATGTGCTATTGCGACCGCAGCAACACATTTTGTTTGATTGAGCGGATGAAAATGAGGAAGGGATGAGGATGATGACAACAAATTTTATTCTTTGTAATCTATGGACAATTGCAAGGGGATAATAAAAGATGAATTGATCACTCGAAAGGGATTTTTTTATTAAAGGGGTGAAGTAGCAAATTTTTTAATGTTTTTGTTGATTTAATTAAATTAATTATAGTGGGCAATTATTCATACTTAGAGTGAATGTGATGATTTTTTTGCAAATGATTTGTTTTTTCGGGATTTTTAAACTTGAAATTTTTTAAATATTTTTTTTTTGAATTAATTTAAAATTGAAATTAATATTTTTATTAAATATTAAAAACCAGAATTGCAAGTATATTTTTTTATACAATTAAAACAAATGTTGTTAAATAATTATAAACTATAGCATATGCAGTGAGTTGAAGTGGTTTGTAGTACTTCGAAACCTAATTATTACAATACTGATACAGCGATCATGAATTCGAGACTTGGCATGGAAAATTTTTCACATGTCCTTTTTCGAATCATATGTACTGGAAATAAGGTCTTCCTTTGTAGGCTAAAGACAAAAATGTCATCAGAAGAGTAGTTCGGATCACATTATAAATTGTAGCTCTAAGTTTGAGTGGGAGGTCTTGTGAACCCCCTCTCGTTAAAATATTATCAGTCTTGGAACGCATATAACGCGAATCTATGGATCTTAAGGTCTGAATGCTAAAGTTTATTTTAATTTTTTATTCTTCATAGCTTATGCAACCCTCATACCAAGCATTCAACTTGTTCGTTTTTATCAAAAGATAAAATAAAACATTTGTGAAGATTTGAAAACATTTGAATTGTTTTTAAACACAATTTATGAGTTAATTTCAAAAGAGAATCAGTATTGGAAATGAAAAAGTGAAAAAGGTTGCCTTCATCAAATTTCAAAATTGTATGAAACATCAAAAGGCAGCATGACAGATTTCAAAAATGACGAACTCAAAAAAAATATTAAAATCTGAATCAACATCGAGCTAACGATTTAATACTTATGATGCAATATAGAAATGCTACCTGATACTGATTTGTTCATTTTCATATAACTTAAGAGATTGGTTAATTATCGATATCTAGATTGTATGAGTTGAGAAAGAATAAAGTCCAATTTTAATATAATATTAAAAGGCATTAGCGCTTGGGTTTGGAAAATTAATATAACATTGATGTTCTTTTGGTATATTTCATGATATACATTGAAAAAAAAATTACAAAGTTTTCCAAGAAATACACAATTTTTTTATAAAGAGTATAAACAATTGCATACAAATAAACTCCGTCAAACATTTAAAAAGCTACGAATATTGACTACCGGCTTTCAAAGCTATCAATGTGTGCTTTGTGTAGTAAATGTTCTCATGAGAGAAAATCAAAAGTGTGTTGACGATCATCAAAATGATATGAAAGCACACTCGACGATGTATTTGGATAGTCTCAAAATTTATTGCTCAATTCTTTTCTCCCGCGTAAAAAAAAGATTGATAAACAAATGTTTTTGCTTGAATACATATAAAACTTAACAAACTACATGCTTGAAAACCAACACAAAAGAAAAATATTTTCTATAAGAACAGATTTTGTTTAAGACTATCTACTCAGTTATTGTGTGATCTTTGAGCAGCGCGAATATATTGTTTCGAGTGTTTGATAAAATGAATCAGTTAAGAAACTGTTTTGCGGTAAGTAAAATATGTTAAAAGTGAACTAATCTTCTAAAAGTAACTTATAATCTAACATTGAACTTCAAATATATTTTAAATTTGATAAAATTATGATTTTAAAATTGTAAATTTTTCTTTTTGTGTTGAATTGAGAGAATATTTTTTTTTGATGATTCATAAATGTATTTTTGAAGTTTTATACATATAAGCGTGATTGCGTTAGTAATATATGTAGGAATATTTTAAATATAACTATGTTATCGTGTGGGGAATGATCAAATTGAATTGTTATTTCTGATGAAAATTTTCTTTAAGTTATGAGATAAGATAAGACTAGAAGAACGCAATATAATGCTTATGATTTTTTTCTAACAGAAATCTCAGAAAGGAGACATAGAACTTGGTGACATAAGATCTCAAAATAACAATCAAATGATTTCAGCATCAGAATCTACCAATTTAATACAGAACAGCCGAGATGAGTATTTTCGATGCAGAAAAATTCTTGAAAGATTCTTCATAACCAAAAAACTCAGCAGTTTCTGCTCCTGTGTTGATCAATTAAATTTGAAAGAAATTTTCGTAACATCAGTCGACACATCTGCATGCATAAGTCTGATTTTAAGGCATATGGAAAATAAAGATTTTTGGAAAATTAAAGAACATGAAATTTTTTTGACTAAATTTGTTGAATCAACAGATTTTAAAGTTGAAAATCTTTTCAGCATCTTGATGTACGATTGGCATGAGCCAGATAAAAAGCCACATCAAAGTTATTATCTTGTAAAAAAGCTAGAAGAACTTACAAATGGAAATTTGTTTAAAAAGCTTTGGGAAATAATGAATAATCAAGAACAGAAGAAGTATCATCAAGTGTGCCTGAAAATTCTTTATTTTTATATTGAAGAAAAGAAGGTTTTCTTTGAAAGTTTAAATGACCAAGAAACAAAAAGTGAAATAAACGAAGAGGAAAAGTTCAGCGATTTCTTGAAACAACGTTTAAATGAAGTCTTGTCATTGATTCCAAACAATGAAGAATACAAAATTCAAGTACTTAAAATATTGATCCCATTTTTGTCGTATTCTGAATTTACTGATGACATAAAACTGAAAATCCTACAAATCTTTGGAAATAACACTTTAAATGACACAATCAATGAAGTTGACAAAACAACATGCAAAATGTCATACACAGTAATGACAAAAAATTGCGATGAAGTTTTCTTCAAGCTAGCTTTTATTATGAAGAAAAACTTTACAATGAACTTTAAAATTGGATATAAAAAGTTTATTGAAATTTATAAGAATTATTTTGGTGAATATTGGAATTATGAAATCGTTCAGAATGCAAAGTTGCTTCTGCTCATGGCAGACATTCAAAATCTCACTGATACCAGAGAGTTTATTTTGATAACAACAGAAAAATCAAGATTAAGATCAGATTTACTTCAAAGATTTAAGAATGTTGCTGAATTTCAGGCAGTATTTAATGAGCCACTTGATGATGCTGTTCAAGTTAAGATGGTAAGAAATCTATGAAATTAATTAAAATTCAAAATTTAACTTTAAAAAATTTAATTTGCAGGTGGAATTGAAAGAGTTTGTGCTGAATTTTGAAAACATTTCAGAAAATAAACGTAATAATTTCAAAAAATTGTTCAAAAACACGCCAGAAATCAGAAGACTTCTTTTTGGAAGAGCTACACTGGAAGGTTCAAGTTTATTTGAGATAATCTTATCGAACAATTTGTTTTGTGACATAATTGAATATATTTGGAATGAATTTGGATTATGGGAAAAACCTGAAATATTGTCATTGGTAAGTTTAAACTAAAATTCAATTTTTTTGATTCAACTTTTGATTTTAAATCTACGTAATACTCCGATGAGCATAGCTACAAGCTAATAATTTTAATCCTCACTATTTCTTAGAAAAATTACAATCAAAAATTTCTTATGGATTATGTTTTGGAAGCTAAACATGATATGCACTTTATAAGGTTCCTCATGGTTCCAGTATCAAAAGAATATGAGAAGATTCAACGACCGATTCATTATATGATGCTGAAAAATTCATTATTTTACGATACGTCAAACATAATAAATTCCGAAAATTCAGCCAATCAAACCAATGTCCCTATAAAATGCATTTTTGAGTATGAAATGTCCTTAATTGATCAAAATGAGACTAAGGATTACGAGAACTTACAAAATTTTCTTTATCTACTTGAGGAAATTTATCAATATTGTCCTGATAAGAATGGCAAAAATAAATTTTTTGTTGACTTCCTTAAACAAATTATCTCGGAAAAAAAGGAAACATTTAATAAGGAACATGAATTGAAGATGCCAAGAAAGCACTTTTATATTGGTTTGATGATGATCTATTGGGGCTACTACATTAAGTTTCGTAAAATTGGTCGAGAATTCTCGATCGAACTACACGGCCCGTCAGAAGAAGATGTAGTAACATTAAATGAGTCAATTGAAACTATTCCATTTTTTGAAATACTTTCATTGATAATTCAAAAGAAGGAAGACGAAGTAATCAAAGGTCTTACATATTTTTATGAGAACATGGAAAAGCTATACCTAAGTACTTATAATATAGAAAGCAACTATTCAATGGATGGAGACCCAGACGAAATTTTTCATTTTTATGAGAAATATTCAACAAACTTCAGTTTTATCTTCGTTTATGCAGCAATCAAGACAAACCAGAAGAACATCATGAATGCAATATTCGAGTACAATCACTTCCTCATAAGTTGTCCATCGTTTCCACAAAATATGAAAGCAGATGACATTCATTGTGATACAGTTGCAAAATTCATTGAAAATCGATATGAGCTTGGACGAGGAGACCTTCCAAAACATTGGATATCTCAAAAGATGCTTAAGAATTTCCTCGACTCCCGCATCACATGTGAAGATAATTTCTATAAAGTTGACTGTCGCTTTATGCTGCCATACTATAATTACGATAAAGTAGATGAGAAAGCAGGTGATGACATGATCTTGAATGAGGATTATGATACAATGAAGTATATCCTCAACGATTATAACCTAAAGTCTTTGGTATCACATCCAGTCATGGAGATGATTATAAGAGCAAAGATATCAAAATATTATCGATTATTCTTTTGGAATTTGGTTTTATTTCTAACATTTTATGTGTTTCCAACTATTTTATTGGTTGTCCAGCTTCATTCTACACAGATTAAGAATTCTACAGTCACAATGGAAGATATTGTAGATCTTTCTTTTGAAGAAGATAATTCAACAAGAATTGTAGACGATCCATCTGAATTGCCAGATATGGCACTAGTAGAATTTGATTATGGTTGGATAATTCTGCTGACGCTCATAAGAGTTCCAATTTTACTTCTTAGGGAAATCTTTCAGATGCTATTTCGTGAGAAAATTAAGGAATATTTTAATAAGAAATCTAATTGGATTGAAATTTCTTTGATTATACTTCCAATTATTCAGACTGTTCCAATATTCATCAATTGGTCGAATCCATCAACTGAAGCATTTATCGCCATAGCCATAATTGAAGTTATTAATATTATTCTTATGATCACTGCCACAGTTTCTTTATATCCAATTTTAAAATTCTCAATCTATATGAAATGCTTTTTTAAAGTCTTCTTGACATATTTGAGAGTTTTTGGCTTACTTCTACCTCTATTCTTAGCATGTGTTGCTATAGTCTTCATAGTATTTGATAAAAAGATTGGTGGTGGAATTGTAGATTTTTATAGTTTTGCAAATACTTGTGTAAAGTACATCATCATGTACTCTGGAGAATTATCGATCGATGCTGACCAAATTAATGGAATCTTACAAGTTACAGCTATGCTGGTGATAATATTTTTAATCATTAACAAAGGGAACTTGATTCTGTCAATTGTAATTGACGATGTTCAAAAAATAATGAGACAAGCAAAAGAGATCAGCTTAAGGTTATATGCTGCAAAATATGTGGAATTTGCTGAAGGAATTCGTACATTTTATGCAAACTATTTTCAGTAAGTTTATATTCAGATTTGATAACTAAAGATCCTTAACATTTTAAATTTTTTCAGCTACAAGGACGAAAATCAGCAAAAATGCTGCACAAAACTAAAAAATCAAAGTTTATTTTGGCTCGTTAAATTTTTTACAAAAAAATATTCACAACTGCATCGAATCAACTTTCTTTATGTAGAAAAGAAATCAGGAAAAGTGTTCATTATTAAAAGACGTCCACTTTTTGAGTCTTGGAATTTCATCACGAGAACTCTCAATAAATTGCTTGTATTTAGATTCGTGTTGAGCTATTGGAATAAATTCTTTTCACATCTTGATCTTGATGCTGACACCATGAAGAAAATTGCTAAAATTATGAGCACTGACGGCGATGCTGATGATGAAGATTAAAATTGTTCTAAAATATAATACTAATTTTTATAAAGTTTTGATTTAAAATAAAATGAAAAAAGTTTTTAAGATAAAAATTAATGATTGGTGTCAAACCTTTTTTGTGTCAAGGCACACTTGGTGATGAGCCATGACTGATAAGCACACAACAAACGGTTTGTTGGATATCCCAAATTTTATTACTGCACACGGGTTGGTCATCACTGATTTAAAGAATGAAGCATATGATAAATCAGCACATGCATAAATCATTTGTGAGGATAAATTTAGTTCAACTGTGCAAACTCAAGCGATAAGACGTATTTTAATGTAAATAAAATACTTTGTTGAGTTCTTGAATTTATAATGTAAGAATAAAGTTAATAAGTCGATATTTTTTGACATATGAAAAAGTTTTGACTATAATATTTTTGCATGGTTCCGAAAATTTAATAAATAACGAATACTTGTTTTATTGTCGAAAGTAAATATAAAAGTTGCGTTGAAAAGAACCAGATTAGATAAAAGCTATAAAAGTGATTATTTTGTGCAATAAATTAAATTTATAATGTCACATTTTTTTGTTAAATTGTTCATGAAATAAGCAAGTTCAGTTCGAATTAAAAATTGAACCGAGAAGTCCAATAAAGTTGATAAAAAAATTTTTTTTTTGGTGCCTTAAAAAAAGAATTCTGGACATAAAAATCTGAGAATAATAATGAGTGTGCTCACCGAGATAAAGAATTAAAATTAAAATCTGACTTATAGTTTTTTTCATTGTAAGCTAGTCATCACAATTTACATTTAATATCTAAATATTCTGGAATGCCTTAGTCAACGACGCTTCTTTTTTGGTATTTCCCTATAACTTTGGGCTTATAATTTAAATTTTCCCATGCATGACAAAGTCATGCTTTATCTCAAATTTATTAAAACTGTTTTAAATTAATATTTTATTATCCTTTTAGAATTTAATATGGATAGTTCTAATGGAGAAACTAACAACCTCCTTAACGCCAATGAACCACAGCAGAATAATCAAATTACATTAGAATTGATGGAAGCAAATTCATCAACCATTTTAAATATTGAAAGGAATAACTCCATTCAAATTACAAGTTCATTAGGAGATTTGACATTTATCGAAGATCAATCAGCTCAAATCAGTGCATATCTTAGAAAAAATGAGAATGAAGATTTTTGGACGATTGAAAAAGTGCGAAATGTAATGAAATTTTACATCAAAAATTCAAATGCTTGCATTAAAAACTTGCTAAGCATTTTGATGTATGATTGGTTCATGCTGAGTAAAAACTCTCCAGACAGCTACTTTCTTATGAAAAAGTTTAACTTTTTCAGCAAATCAGATGAAAAAACGCATGAAAAGCTGTTCAAAAAATTATTGGATGTGTTTGATTCCTCGGACAATCTTGATTATCATGAACTTTGCTTAAATATCATTTATTTTTTATTCAGCGAAATTAAATATTATCTTGAGAATACCAAAGTAAATGTTGACAACTTTCGTATACTTGTGGTTCCAGAGTTGATAAAAATGACTTTGGACATGACCAACAAAGAGTATCGAACGAAAATTCTAAAACTTGTGACTGCTTTTCTTGATAACGCCGATGAAGAAGTTTACCAAATTTTAAAACAGAAAATTCTTGAAAGTATTCAGCACGAAGCCAGTCCACATCAATCAGCATGCAAAATCTCTTATAATGAAATTATGAAGCACTGCGATGAGCTTTATTTTAAGTTGTTATTTCTTTTACATGAAAATCTGATGATGAGCTTTAAGTTTGAATATAAAGACTTTATGGCTGTATACCAAAGTTATTTTGGAGAATTTTGGACGTACGCAATCAACCAAAATGCACAACTTCTTTATGTCTTTTCGTATTTACAAGAACTTTTTGACACGAAAGAATTCCTTTTGATAAGCACAGAAGGAACTAACCTAAAATCAAATATTACATCAACAATTAGGAAAGTTGCAGAATTTCAAGCTGTTTTTGTTGAGCCACTGGATAAGATTCATAAAAAATTATTGGTAAGGATTAAAAGCTATTTATTTGGTGATTGAAATGTTTGAGGGCAGTGTTTCTCAAACTATGGTCCACGGAACTGCTGCTTCTTTACTGCTCGGTGACATTAAAAAGTTTTATACTAAATTTTAATAAAATATTTTCAGGATCAAATGACAAATATCATAACCGACGATGATAGAACAATAGATGAATTTAAAAATTTATTTTGTAGCACGCCGAAAGTCAGAAAATTACTTTTTGGCAGAAAAGATTTCAAAAGCGAAAGCCTGTTTGAGCAAATCTTATCAATTAACAAAGACATTTCTATGGAATCATTTCAAGAAATATTACAACACATCTGGAATGAATTTAAGTTGTGGGAGAAGCCTGAAATATTGACATTGGTAAGTGCGAACTGGCTGCAACAAGCTTATTTGGTTGAAGACTACTTGATTCTGCTCTAACATGAAGTTTTATCATTTTTTTTATAGGAAAACCCTAAACGAAAGCATTTATTTGATTATGTGCTAGAAACAGATAACGATGCTTATATAATTTCATTTTTGATGCCTATAATAGCTAATAAATATGAAGAAATTTGCAAGCCACTGCATTTCATGATGCTAAAAAACTGCTTATTTTACGACTTTAAAGCAACCAAAATCGGCCATGATTCTGTGGAAAGCGAACAAGATTATTCTAATTTTGGCTTAAATCCAAAATGCTTGATTGAATATCACTTGAACTTAATTGATAAAAATGAAAGGATGGACTACGTAAATACAAAGAACTTGTTGTACCTTCTTGAAGAAATTCATCAGTTCTGTCCGGATCAAGTTGGTAAGAATCAATTTTTTATGAAACTATTCAAGAAAATTTTGCATGAAGAACCGGAAAAGTTTAATGGCGAACATGAACTTAAACTTCCAAGAAAGCACTTTTGGATTGGCTTGATGATGATTTATTGGGGATATTTTGTAGAATTTCAGCATATTGAAGCTGCTTCAAAAGATAATAATACAAAAAAGTGCTTCGTAATCCTCCACAGTACATCCAACACTAAGGAAGACATTTTGAAACTTGAAGGAACTTTTATTCCATACCTGCATTTATTGTCATTGATAATCAATAATAAGGATAAAGATTTCGAAAAGGAATTCCCAGTAGAAATGAAAGAAATGGAAAATTCCTATAAAAATCTTTATAAGCTGGAAGGAAAGTACGACAGACACCATTCAAATAAAGACGAAAATGAAATTTTCCATTTTTATGAAAAATATTCAACAAATTTCTGTTTTATCCTCCTTTATGCTGCAATTAAGACAGACCAGAAAAATATTGTCAAGCTGATTTTCGACTACAACAACTTCTTAATCAGCTGCCCAGAATTTCCAGCAAATATGAAAGTTAATGACATCCATCATTACACAGTTCAAATGTTTCTTGAAAATAAATACGAACTTGGTAGAGCTGACCTTCCAAAAAATTGGATACCGCATGAAGTCATGGAGGAATTCCTAGACTCCCGAATCACATGCCAGGACAATTTCTACAAGGTCAACTGCCAGTTCATGTTGCCTTACTATAATCACGATGAAAAAACAGAAAAAGTTGATGACGGAGTTATGATGAATGAGGATTACGAAACAATGGAATACATACTTAATGATTATGAATTAAGGTCGTTAGTTACTCATCCAGTGATGGAAATGATTATTAGAACTAAAATTGAGAAATATTCCAGGCTTTTCTTCTGGAATCTGACGATCTTTATTCTGACTTACATTGGTCCTACAACCTTTTTGGTGTTCTTATTGCATTCTTATGATAATACTTTTGAGAAACCTGGAACAGAAGCTGGCATTAAGAATGGCTCATATATTACTGATTGCAACAAAACTTTAGAAAATCTGAATCAAACTTTCAACAAAAGTTCATCAAATTGGTTCGAAGATTTGATATACCATATGAACGAGAAGCCTAGATTCCTTCTTTTGATTATTTTCTCACTCTCTCGAATAATTCCATTATCAATTAGAGAAAGGATTCAATATTCGTCTATCCATGAGGATAATTACTTTAAAAAACTTTCAAACTTTATTGAAATTGGACTCATCGTCTTGCCTGTTATATTCTCAATCTTAACGATGGTTTATTGGTATTTTAATTATGAAAGCCTATTCGTCACTTTAGTTGTTATTGAAGCTATCAATGTTCTGTTAATGATCATCGCAACGGCATTTTTGTATCCTGTTTTAAAATTCGCCATTTACATGAAATGCTTTTGGACAGTTTTTACGACTTACTTGATGATTTTCTTGCTGTTTCTTCCATTATTCTTTGGATGTGTCGCTATGGCTTTTATAATATTTGACAAAAAGCTTGGAGGGAAAATTGAAGAATTTCATGGATTTGGGAATGCATCAACTAAATACATCATCATGTATGCTGGCGAATTGGACATCGATTCAGAGAAATTGTCAGGATTTATTCAAGTTATTGCTATAACAATAATGATCATCCTGATCATCAACAAAGTTAATTTAATTATTTCAATAGTCGTCAATGATGTTCAAAAAGTCATGGATCAGGCAAAAGAATTCAGTTTGAGATTGTACGCAAAAAAATATGTGGAATTCGCTTCAAAAATTCGAAAGTATTATGCTCTCGAAATTGAGTGAGTATTTAAAATTTCTGGCTACGCCACTAGTTCCTCTATAATTTATTATTTTCAAAAATATTCCATTTTTAATAGACAAGAAAATAAAATAAGCACAAGCACAAAATTGCTTTTTTGGTGGATTAAATTAATCACCAGAAAATATCCCCACATTCATCAAATTCACACGCTGTATGTTGAAAAGAAGACAGGATATGTTCACATTGACAACAAAAGACCACTCTTTGAGGGTAAAAATCGTTATATGCGATATTTGAGGAAGCGAAAAAATTGGGTTATCATAGCTGTAGTCAAATGTTGGGATAATATTTTTTCACACTTGCAACTTGAGACAGAAACAATGAATGAGATCAAGAAAATTGTCAAGAAAAGAAATAAAATTAGCGAAAATTTAAAGAAAAGCAATGAAGATGGACGTTGCGAAACTGATGAAGAAAACAAACAATAATGACCGATAAATAAAATTTAATGATTTAGATTAGCGATTTTTGTATTGTCAAATTTATTTTGTATTTTATTTAAAAGAAAATGAGAAATAAAAATTGAGTTCATTTTAAATTGACTGATTTAATGTCATCTTAAAATTAAGAAATATTTTATCAACAATTTTTGTAATGCCAGAGATGCAGAGACGTAGCCAGGATTTTTCTATAAGGCCAATCTCAAAAATAAACAAAAGCTGCTCTATTCGATTATAAAAAGTTAATTTTATTGTTCTTGGGATTCTCGGGCAACTAAGGACCCCCCTCCCCTGACTACACCCCTGTAGAGATGGGATATGGTTGTTAAAATTTAACAACCTTTTTCGCCTTCGTCAGAAACTAATAATCCACCATGTGAGGCTTATCGCTCAAATTCATTTTAAGCGTCCCTTCACACTACCAAAATTACATCAATATATATATTAAAACATATACGAACATACTGCGGATTTGCGACCACATATTTATTTTTCTCTCTATCAGCAAAAAATTACCAAGCAAAATAATTTTGAGGAGTAGTCACGGATTGAAAATTGATGTGATAAGACGTAAAATTATTAAAAAGTTTTTGGAAAATCATTTTTAAGCTATTAAAGTTTGCCAAGTTTATATAATAAGGTAATACAAATTATTTAAAATTTATTAATTAATCATTACTAAACATCAAAAAAAGTATTTTGGATATATGTAACTTTATGAGTCATTTTGATTATTATAGTCGCACTTCAATATGTTATCGGTCTTAATACAAATAAAAATGTTTCCACTCTGTATGAATTATAAATTATTCTGTGATTAGTATGCGTGAGGATCAATCATTTCCTTTTAGTATGAAAAATTCATGAGCTTCAAGTTAATCGAATTTATCTGAAATTTAGCTTGTTTGATATTAAGAAAATAATTTTAATTATTTAAATTTTTTTCATTCATCGATTTTATGTTAGGAATGAGCACCTCAACCACAACTGAGAGCATTGAACTCCAAGATTTAAATCTTGAAGGACAAAATTCAAATCTTCAAGAAAGCCCTAAGAATCCTGATGCTATATCTACAACTGAAATAATAATTGCAATAACAGTTCCGGAAGAATATGATCTCAAAAAGATATGTAAATGTTTCACATGCTGCAATGGTAAATCTAAGGTTATTGATTTCCTCAAATTTAAGAGTGAGGAAAAATTCATAAACAAATCATCAATTATCAGCTCTGTTTTGCGAAAAAACGAAAATGAAAAGTTCTGGGATGAAGAGAATTTGAAAGAAGTTATGAACACGTATCTCGAAGACGACAATGATTGTTTGGAGGATTTTTTCAGCATTTTAATGTTCGATTGGCTTGAGTATGAGAAAAAATCGAATAAGAGTTATTTTTTGAGAGAAAAATTTAATGCATTTAAAGAAGCATTTTATAATCCGACTGTTGTAATAGAAAGCAATAAAAATTCAAATTCAAATTTACATGTTAATAATGTTCATCATCCAGGCTCATCGAATACTAAAACCGATAAGCCAATCCAACATAATTCATCAGAAAATCAAACTCAAGATACCGAACAAGAAGCATTGATCAGCGGACAAAAACCATCAAATGAAGGGCAATCGAGTTCAACATCAGATCAACAAGGAGGAAGTCAGACTCCCTCAACTTCAGAACAAATCCCAAAAAGTTGTAAAATTTTTGAAAAATTATTAAAAGTGATAAAAGACAAAAACTTAGAGCGTTACCACTATACATGTTTAAAAATTATCTACTACTATGCTGATGAAATATCAAAAAGTTCTGATGAAGAAAGGACAAATTTTAGTTTGGAAGTACATAATATAATTACAAAAGTGCTAAAGATCGAGACCAATGATGAGTATAAAGTCAAAATTCTTAAAGTTTTAGTAATATTTTTGAAAAATGTTGACACTTACCCTAATACGAAAAAAAGCATAAAAGATTTTTTAATGCAAAAACAACCTCCAAATGAAGATTCAATTTTTTATGACCTCATGCTGGCTCACTGTGACCGTCTGTACTTCAATCTCGTATTTTCATTGAAGGAAGATTCAATTCTAGATTTTAAGGATGATTATAAGAACTATATTAAAACTTATAAAGGATATTTTGGAGAATACTGGTCATTTGCTATTAAGAAAAACGGACAATTGCTTTATCTTTTGACGAAAATGTGCGGATTTGACGAAACTGGAATGTTTATTTTAAATGAAACAGAAGAAGCTGTACTTAAATCAAGCATTACCTCTCATTTTACGGATGTTGCTGAGTTTCAAGCAATATTTAACAAACCTTTTAATAAGAGTGATAAAGCCAAATATGTAAGATTTTTTTTTTAATTTTTTTCAAAATTATTTTATTTAAAATAAATATTTTTAATCTTTAGGAGGAACTTAAAACCTTTGTCGATAAAAATTTGTGTACAAAACATGAGATTTATGTCGATTCTATTAATTCAGAAATTTTTGAAAAAAAATTCAAAAATTCAGCACAAGTTAGACGGCTTCTTTTTGGGAGAGAGAATTACGAAAGTAAAAGCATTTTTGAAGAAATTTTGTCACAAGAAATTTTAAAATATCATGTTTCGAATTTTGATGATCTATTAAATTACATCTGGAATGAATTTAAACTTTGGAACATTCCTCAAATATTAACTTTGGTAAGTTTAAATGATTTTTTCTTTATCAATATAAATCATTTTACGGACGCAACTGTAATAATACAACAGGACATCCATTTTTGCAATAAAAATAACTTTTTTTTTTCATTTTCTTACAGAAAAATTCACTTGGAATGCGCTATATTGACTATGTTTTTAAATTTTGCCATGAAAATCAAATGATTCAATTCTTAAACATTGAATATTCAAAAATCTATAAAGGAACTCATAAGCCATTGAAATGTATGATGTTAAAGAGTTCACTACGTCCGATTAAATCAATTAAAGATTCCATTTATGATGCAAAAGGAACGAATAATAATTTTGATGGTTTTAGAGTGCAAAATTTTGCTAAAACAATCATTGATTTTCAATGTATTTTAATAAAGGACACTAAGGAAAATGATGACTATCAATATGAAGCGCACAATTTATCAAATATTCTATATCTCCTTGAAGAAATGCATCAATATTGCAGTAGCAATACTGAAAATAATCGAGTTATTGAGGAAGTTTTTAACTATAAACCTACGAAAGATTTTTATTTCCTGGTCCCAAAATTTTGGTTCACATTGGGCTTAATGATGATTCATTGGAACTATTATATTAAAATTGATAAAGATCAAATATTAATTTTTCCATCAAATGATGAAGAATTACCAGAATTAACATCAATTTGCACAAAAAATCCATTCTTATATCTTATATCTCTGATTGTTACAAAAAAATATGACCAATTTTTGAAAGATTTTCCGGAAAAAATTAAAGAAAGTGTAACCAATTATAAAACTAGTGCAGAGTCCAAAAAGGTAGATGTTGAACACGTTACAACAAATTTTTGCTTCGTATTTCTTTATGGAGCAATCAAGGCAAATCAAAAGGAAATCGTCAAGCAAATGTTTGCCTTTAATAGTTTTGCGGTCAACATTCATGAATTTCCATCAAATATGAATCCAGAAGAGATTCATGAATTTATTTTAAAAATATATCTAGAAAATAAATCTCAATTTGGAAAGGATGTAGAGATCCCTGAAGACTGGATAACGTACAAGGTGTTCAAAGAATTTCTAGATTCTCGAATCACAAATCAAGGAAATTTCTACAAAATTAATTGTAAATTTCTCTTGCCTCTCGAGTCTCAGGATGAAACGCTTGACAAGAAGGATGATAATGCTGTATTTTATGAAGATTATCACACAATTAAGTACATATTGGGTAGCTATAAGCTCAAGTCACTCATAGCACATCCAGTTATGGAAACGATAGTGAGGACTAAAATTGAAAAATATGATCGAATTTTCTTTTGGAACTTAATGCTTTTCATCATTTGTTATATTATTCCTACAATTTTCATAGCTTATATCTTACATTCTGATAAAGAAAATGCTGAAATTAGTGAAGCTGCATCAAGAACTATAATATCTTTTTCAGCAATCAGACTTGGATTCTTATTTACAAGAGAATTTTTACAATTAATTGCAGTTTATGGATGGAAAAAATATTTTAAAAAATATTCAAATTATATTGAAATTTCCTTAATTATTTTATGTATGACTACGCTTATTATATTTTATATAAGTCAAGTGACATTTTATAATTTATTAACAACACTTGAATCATTAAATATTGCTCTTACGGTTTTTTCAACACTTAATCTATATTTGATATTCAAATTCACAATACACATCAAATGCTTCTTCATGGCATTTAAAGCTTACTTTTTAATACTTTGCTTTTTGCTGCCATTATCAATTGGAGCCATTTTACTGATTTTCATATTATTTAACAAACCAAATGAAGGAAAAATTGAAGATTTTCATCATTTAAACACCACAATTATAAAATATTTTATAATGTATAATGGAGAACTTGGCATAAACGCGTCTGACTTAATCGGAATAGTTCAAATTATAACTATCGCTATAGTCATCATGTTTGCCATCACAAAATCAAACTTGATTCTAGCTATTGTATTAGACGATGTCCAAAAAACTATACGACAAGCTAAAGAAATCACATTGAAGAAAAATGCACAGAAATATGTTGATTTTGCTGAGAAAATTGAAAAGCTTTATAATAGTTATTCAAAGTAAGTAATACAATAAGAATATTAAGCAAAGATTGAAGGGGGGAGGGGAGTGTTACGGAAAGTTTTCAATACCCCCAGTTAAGCCTAGGCTTTATATTTTTGGATTTTATGATGATCAAAAAATTTAAATTGAGATCAAATCTCATTTCTGATTTTAAAATTCTCTATTTCCAAAAACATAATAATAGCCATTTTGGATTCCACCATTTTGAGCATTTGTATGAAAGTGGTGGGGCTTAGAGCGGAGTGACAGAAAAACTAGTGAAGGTTTTTTTTATTAATTAAATTATAATTATTAATTTTATTTTCAGTGCATTGGATGATTCCAAAGATAGATTTTCCTGGACACGTTTGCAAATTCGAGTTATCAGATTTTTCATAGGCAAATATAATCACATACACAAAATAAATTACTTTCATTTGGACAAAAGAACTAGAAATGTCTATATCAATGAACAAAAGCCGCTTTTTGGACATGGATTTTTTTCGTTAAAATTTTGGCGTTCTGATGTAAAACTAATTCAATGGCTCTCAGATTTTATTGGTTTAAATTTGAAACTTGATTCAAATACATTTGATGAAATTAAGGAAATAGTTGAAAGGAAAATTGAAAATGAAAAGGACGAAGAAATTGACAAGTTAAATAACGAAATCAAAAGTATGCAAGATGAAATCAATAATTTGAATAGGGCAACACACGCACGCAGCCAGAAGGGTTTTGTCCCCCCCCCCTTAAACGTTTTGAACCGCAGCAAGAGCACGACCTAAAAAGCTTAATAGGAGTACAAGACCATCCTGGCTACGCGCCTGGGGCAACATCCTTAAGCAAAAAAATCAAAAATATAAATTCAAATCAAAAACGTTTTAGTATTTAAAAATATTTTTAATTTTTCTAAATTTAAAAAATTTTGAATTTTTTTAATCATTTACTTTAATAAAGATTTTTGTATCCAATTAATTTTAGTAATATTTTTAATTTTAATTTTATAAATTCTTTCAAATAAAACTAAAATTTATACTCAAATCCAATTTTTTCTAATCCTGGATGATTTACATAATTATCCAATAACTTAATTTGCTCATCAGACAATTCATCTTTATATCCACCAACTTTTCCTTTTCTTATAAAACTAAATCCATCTTTTGGCTGATATTTTTTCCCACCCAACTCCATTAAAAGTTTTATTTGCTCATCTTTATTGACTGTTTTGCTGTTACGAACTGATTCAAATGATAGATGCTGGCAGAGCTTATCAATCTGTTCTTGAGAGAAATCTTTGCCGAAAAATTGCATCGCTCTTTTAACTTCTTGGTCCAAATTTTTCTTCATATCCTCAAAAAATAGGAACAAAATATTTGGTTCATCCTTGATGCTCCAAAAATCGATAATATGCTCATTTATAGGTGAATATGGAACTAAATCTTTAGAAAATGCTTCTATAAAGTCCTCCATTCTTCCTTGATATCCATGCAAATTAACATGATGATGATACCAAGACACTGCTGCATCCTTAGCATTTCTGACGACATAAACAATCTAAAATGAAGTTTAATTAATTTTGAGCATAAATCATAAGTTTGCATACCTAATTTACCTTCGGTTTAACAGTCCACAACTGATCAGGTAACAAAAAATAAGGCAAATGTGACTTAATATATCTTGGACGTGGCATTTCTTGGCACATCTCAAAAATATCAAATGGTATTCCAGGTCCAAGCCAACTCATTCTAAAGACATGATAAACTTTGTTATCAATATTGATAAAAATTTATTAAAAATGAAACTCACTCCAAAAATGGAAATCGTTCGTCAAGACTAGTTTTTGCTGATGTTTCATAGTCAAGGTCATTTCCGATCATCCAAATCATTTCTTGTGCCCAAGTTGTGCCACATTTAGGAAATGTCACGATCCAAATATCGTCTTCAAATACTTTCATATTTTTAATCCTTTCAAATCCTTTATCAATGAAAGTTTTCGGCATTACACAAAACTTACTAGGGTCATCTTTTAAAGAAATTCGTTGAAGGTCAAAAATTAAAGGTGTTTCAATTTTTCTGGCAATCTCATCTTCTGGTCTTTCAATGTTATACATTTTTATATTTAAATGAATAAATTCTAAAGTCCAATTATATATTTTTGAACTTTACTCTTCGGTAGCAAAAAAAAGACTGGCTGGATTTATTTTGCAAACAACGAGACTCTCGGAATTGCTCAAAACAATAAAAAAAATATTTTTTCTCTCGCGGAATTGTGAGCAGAGGAATTTGAGAGTTAAAACACTCCGATGATAAGTCTTACGAATGTTGATATTTTTGATAAGGTTTGTTTATTACATAATTTTGGGGGTAAAGCTCCGCGTGTAGTTAAAATAAAAAGTCAATTGCTTGGACGCTTGTCCGTAGCCAAAAAAAAAATGATGCCGTTCACTTATGACGTCCATCAAAAAATCTAATTTTTAGACCGCTTCCCCCATTTTATCACAAAACTGTCACAGATTTTCAATTGAGTCCATGTTGTTCCACATTTTGGAAAATATACGACCCAAACATCGTCTTCGAAAATTTCCATATGTTTGATTCTTTCGAGATTTGTTTTAACAAATTTTCTTGACATAACACAGAATTTTGATGGATCATCTTTGGATGATATTTTGACTAAATCTACAATTCCGCATGTTTCCATTTTTGTTAGTATTTCATCTTCAGGTTTCTCTTTGATAAACATTCTTAATAAAATATATTTTGCACTATTAAGGAATCACTAGACCGATAGCTTTATACTAAGTAAAATCTGCAGGGACACAAGGTATTTAATGGTAAAGTTCGAAGCAATTCATTTTTAAAGATAAGTTGATTAAACTAAGTCATAAATATTAGATTGTCATGCTTAATGAAATCAGTTGCTTAAAGTGGCAATGCCGTGATTAATTAATTAATTATTTTCAAAAAAATAGGTTTCTTATCATTATTTATTAAATCAATCAAATTTATATTCAAATTCAATTTCTTTTAATATTTTACATTTTGCATATTCATCGAGCATTTCATTTTGCTCTGTCGTTAATTCATTTTTGAATCCTCCAACTTGACCTTTACGAATGAAACTAAATCCATCACTTTGATCATATTCTTTTCCTCCAGCTTGCATAAATTTGATAAGAACTTCATCTTTATTGACATTTTTATTATTCTTAATAGATTCGAATGATAAGTGTCTACAAAGCTTGTCAATCTCTTCCTGTGAATAGTTTTTACTTAAAAATTTCATTGCTTTTTTGACTTCTTGATCCAAATTTCTCTTCATGTCCTCAAAAAACAAGAATAAAATATTTGATTGATCCTTAATTTTCCAAAAGTCAACGACATGCTCATTCATTGGTAAATAAAACATCAAATTTTTAACAAATGCTTCATAAAATTCTTCCTTAGTGCCTTTGTATTCATGCAAACGTAAATGATGATGATACCACGATACAGCTGTATCTTTTGGGTTTCGAACAACATAAATTATCTACAATTATTTTAAATTAATTATTTTCTTATATTTTCATATTTAATCAAATCTTTACCTTTGGCTTTATCGTCCATAATTGGTCAGGCAAAAGAAAATGTGGTAAATGTGACTTTATGTATCTTGGACGTGGCAGATTCTTGCATATTTCAACTATGTCAGCTGTAAAATCCGTTAAAAAGCCACTTACTCTATAATAATCAGAGTTCATATAAAAATTATGCAACATCCCTAGAAACTAGCTTACTCTAAAAATGGAAATCGTTCATCTAAAATAACTTTTGAAGACGTTTCATAATCAAGATTATTGTTAAGCATCCAAGTCATCTCTTGAGTCCATGTTGTACCGCATTTTGGGAAAGTCACAATCCAAATATCATCTTCAAATATTTCCATATTCTTAATTCTTTCCAAATCTTTTGCAACAAATTTTAGAGGCATTATGCAAAACTTTGTAGGGTCATCCTTCAATGATATCTTAACTAAATCATCAATATAATAAGTTTCAACTTTTTTCAATATTTCATCGTCTGGCTTTTTTATTTCAAAAAGATCCATGGCAACGAATATAATTTTTGCTCAAGTGCCAAATTTAAACTGATAGGAGCGTGAACAAAAGCTGAAAGGTATTCAATATTAAAGTTCAAAATATTTTCACTTATGTGTTTTTTGATAACTTTTTATCTGATTAGGTTAAAGTTGGTGTTGTTGTTAAATGATATTAAGCTGAGTGTGTGAGGTCGTTTGGTTTTGCGAAAAAAAAATTTTAATTTGCTGATAAGCTTTATCAAGGTTTGTGAAACATTTTATTATATTTTATAATTCTTTGAAAGTTTGGAGGTAAAGTCAGGATTACATAAAAATTTATTTCATTTGGGATAGTTCATATATGACGTCCGAAATTAACGGCCATTTTTCAAAAAAGAACAATGGTTTTCCAGGAATTTCTATTGTTCTTTTCTTGCTGACCCCCCCATTGGACGTCATAAGTGAACTGCCCCTTTCCATCGCTTAAAATTGATACTCAATGTCAAACTCTGCCTTCTTTATGTATTCGTCCAGCATTTCAATAGCTTCTTTCGTCAGTTCCTGCTTGTATCCACCAACTTTTCCTTTTCTGATAAATGTGTATTTTTCTGGATTATACTCTATACCTTCCAAACTCATTAAATGCTTTATATCTTCTTCCTTATTAATCATTTTGTTCTTTTTGATCGATTCAAATGACAAATGAGTGCAAAGCTTATCAATTTCATTTTGGGTAAAATCTTTGTCCAAAAATTTCATCACTTTCTTTACTTCCTGTTTTAGGTTCCTCTTCATGTCCTCAAAAAATAGAAACAAAATATTTGGTTGACTTCGAATGTTCCAAAAGTCAATCACATGATTATTCATCGGTGCATACATCATGATATCCTTGACAAACGTCTCAATAAAATCACTGATTGTTCCTTGATATCCATTCATGTTGTGATAATGATGGTAATATGACACAGCTGTGTCCTTCGGGTTTCGGGCTGTATAAATTATCTGCAGAAGTGAGTATGATTATTATCATAAAAGCAAAGACTAGATCATAGCATAGTAAAGCTTAACTGACTAAGATTTGAAGCTTAAATGTTAAATTAAACTTACTTTAGGTTTGACAGTCCACAGTTGATCTGGTAGTAGAAATAAAGGCAAATGAGACTTGATGTAACGTGGTCGTGCCAAGTTTATACATTCTTCAAACATATTTTTCGGGTAATTCGGAACAATTCCATTTAATCTAAATGAATGACGTTCAATTTAAGTCAATAAATAGCTCAAAAGTCAACTTACTCCAAAAATGGATACCTATCATCAAGTAGCACTTCCATTGATGTCTCATAATCAAGATCATGTCCAATCATCCAAACCATTTCTTGAGTCCATGTTGTACCACATTTTGGATAAGTCACAACCCAAACATCGTCTTCAAAAATTTCCATATTTTTGATTCTTTCTAGGTCTAAATCTACAAAGCTTTGTGGCATCACACAGAATTTTTTTGGATCATCTTTTAGGGATATTTTAACAAAATCTTTACTGAATGGTGTATCAAGCTTTTTATACAGCTCATCTTCTGGAACTTCGATATTGAACATTTTTCTGAAAACTCAAAAATTAACTTCCTGCTCAAACTAATGCCTTTGTATGGACTGAATTGTATTATTTCAAATACAACAATTAAGTTTTTAAGTGCTGATTATTTTTTATCATTCTTGATAACATTTTTATTGCTGACTTACTTGGGGGTGTTGGGTGGAACTTTACGATTATTACCCAAAATATATTTAACATAAAATTTAAGTTTCTTTTAAAATTGATATTCAATTTCAAATTCAGCCTTCTTGATGTACTCATCCAGCATTTCATTTTGTTCTCTTGTCAATTCCTGCTTGTATCCACCAACTTTACCCTTCCTTATGAATGTAAACTTTTCTGGATTGTATTCTCTTCCAGTCATTTCCATCACTTGCTTTATAATGTCTTCCTTGTTTATCATTTTATTATTTTTAACAGAATCGAATGACAAATGGACGCAAAGCTTATCGATCTCACCCTGAGAAAAGTCTTTTTCCATAAATTTCATAACTTTTGTGACTTCTTGCTTCAAATTCCTCTTCATGTCCTCAAAGAAAAGGAACAAAATATTTGGCTGGAATCGAATATTCCAAAAGTCAATGACATGATCATTCATTGGTGAATAAGGAACTAAATCCTTTCCAAATGCTTCAATAAAATCAGCTTTGGTTCCTTGGTAGCCATGCAAGTTTGCATGATGATGAAACCAAGATATGGCAGTGTCTTTAGGATTTCGAGCTGTATAGACGATCTAAATTTGTTAAATTATTATTAAGTATATCTTTACATGAATAAGTTCTTCAAAATGTTTACCTTTGGTTTAACAGTCCAAAGCTGATCAGGTAACAAAAATATAGGCAAATGTGATTTAATAAAGCGTGGTCTAGCCTGATTTTTGCATTCCTCGAACGTGTCTTTTGGGAAGTTTGTTGCGATGCTACTAAGTCTGTATCATCAGATAAGAATTATTAAAAAATGATAAAAAGATTTAATTTTGTAAGACTCACTCCAGAAATGGAAATCGATCGTCTTGAGGTATCTTTAATGCTGTTTCGTAATCAAGATTATGTCCAATCATCCAAACCATTTCTTGTGTCCAAGTTGTTCCACATTTTGGATAAGTTACGACCCAAACATCGTCGGGAAATATTTCCATGTTTTTGATTCGTTCAAGATCCTGGTCAACATATTTTCTAGGCAGAACGCAAACTTTTTTTGGATCATCTTTCAATGAAATTTTCACAAATTCCTTCATTTGAGGAGCTTCAACTTTTTGAGCGATTCCATCATCCGGAACTTCTATGTTGTACATTTTTTAAGTTAATCAGTTAATATACAGCCTCAAAAAAAAGTTTAATGTTATTCCGCCCTTGGCTTTGAATTGACTAAGTAAGGAATTGTTTTTACAAACTTAAAAATTTATGATTTAAGAGATACGACACGTGAAGTACTGATTATTTTTTGTTATCACATTTGATAAAATTTTATTATTGTTTATGTATGAAAAGAGTTGGAAGCCTAGTTTTGAAACTTTAAAAAATAATTTTAAATATTTTTGCATCTCTAACTCAGTGTTGTGTAAGCTGAGTGCCGTAGAAATTTTTTGGAAATGACCCTAGCCGCATGCTGTGTGCAACTTTAGTCATGGCTTAACCCTAAATTGTACCGTGACTCAAAAAGTTCGAATAACCATGCTCTAAGTCATCAACAAGTTTACCATAAAAATATGCTAGTTATTACTACGCATAAGTTAGGGATTTACCATCTAATCTCAGTAGAATTCAATATTTCGGACAGTTTGGGTGCTGAAAATTTCTTGTCCAGGATAGAAAATAAAAATATCCAACAAACTTCATTTTTGATTCCAAAATTTTATTATCATCAAAATTTATATTCAATATCATATTCAGCCTTCTTAATGTATTCATCCAACATTTCATTCTCTTCTGGGGCTAGTTCCTGCTTATATCCTCCAACTTTTCCTTTTCTGATGAACGAGAATTTTTGTGGATTGTATTCTTTACCAGTCATTGATGACATTTGCTCAATAATTTCTTCTTTGTTTATCATTTTATTTTTTTGGATGGAATCGAATGACAAATGAACACAAAGCTTGTCTATTTCATCTTGTAAATAATCTTTTTCCATAAATTTCATGACTTTTTTCACTTCCTGACTTAAATTTCTTTTCATGTCCTCAAAAAATAGGAACAAAATGTTTGGTTGGAATCGAATATTCCAAAAGTCAATGACATGATCATTCATAGGTGAAAATAAAGTTAAATCCTTTACAAATGCTTTAATAAAATCAGTTTTTGCTCCTTCATACATGCCCAAATTCCGATGATGATAAAACCATGATACAGCAGCATCTTTTGGATTTCTAGTGACGTAAATTATCTGAAGAAGGAAATTTCAAACATTATTTAAATTATAATATAATTTTGAAGCCTCACTTTAGGTTTAACAGTCCACAACTGATCAGGCAATAGAAAAATTGGCAAATGTGACTTGATGTAACGTGGACGTGGCTTATTTTTAGCTAGTTCAAAAGTATTAAATGGAAATTCCTTCGCAATACCACTGCATCTAATCAAAAGAATAAACATTCACGTCAATGAACTTACTTTGACATTCAAACTCTTATCAAGCTTACTCCAAAAATGGAAACTTATCATCAAGTAGAATTTTCATTGACGTGTCATAGTCAAGATTATTTCCAATCATCCAAACCATTTCCTGAGTCCATGTTGTGCCACATTTCGGGAATGTTATGACCCAAATGTCATCCTCGAAAATTTCCATTTTTTTAATTTTTTCCATGTAATTATCCACAAAATGTTGCGACATTACACAAAACTTTTTTGGATCATCTTTTGGTGAAATTTTTACATAATCATTCAAGAAAGGATTTTCAAGATTTTTTGTAAGTTCGCTGTCTAAAATTTCGATGTTGAACATTTTTACAATTAATTGTTAAGCCACTTTTCAGATCAACTTCAGACTTTTAAATGAATGAAAAATGATATTTTTATTTCACTTTAAGTGATAAGTTTTTGTTATCACACTTGATAACATGTTGACACGTGAGTCTCATAATTAGTCATCAACTATTTTTTTAATATTAAAACTGATACTCAATTTCGAATTCAGCTTTTTTAATATATTCATCAAACATGTCATTCTCTTCTTCAGTCAGTTCCTTCTTGTACCCTCCAACCTTCCCTTTCCTAATAAATGTGAAATCCTCTGGATTGTATTCCCTTCCAGTCATTTGCATCCAATTCTTTATATCAACTTCCTTGTTAACCATTTTGTTATTTTTTATTGAATCAAATGACAAATGAACGCAGAGAATGTCAATTTCCTCCTGAGTATAATCCTTTTCCATGAATTTCATGACCTTCTTGACTTCCTGACTCAAATTTCTTTTCATTTCCTCGAAGAACAAAAATAGAACGTTCTGCTCATAACGAATATTCCAAAAGTCAATCACATGCTGATTCATTGGTGAATAGAGGACTAAATCTTTTACGAATGCTTCCATAAAATCAGCTTTTGTTCCTTGATATCCATGCAAGTTATGATGATGATAGTACCATGACACAGCTGTGTCTTTAGGATTTCGTGCAACGTATATTATCTGTGGGACATGTTAAGATTATTTTTTTTTCTCACAATATTCAGCTTAATTGCTACATACCTTAGGTTTTACAGTCCATAGCTGATCAGGCAATAGAAACAATGGCAAATGCGACTTGATGTAACGTGGACGAGGCATGTTTTCGCATATTTCAAATGTATCCATTGGAATTTTATCTGCAAGGCCTCCAGCTCTAGATAAAAAACAAGTCAATCAGCCAGAGTTGGCAAGATTAATCATTAATGAACTTACTCTAAAAATGGAAATCGCTCATCCAGTAAAACTTCCGTTGACTTTTTATAATCAAGATTATTTCCAATCATCCATGACATTTCCTGTGACCAAGTCGTACCACATTTTGGGAATGTAACAACCCAAATATCATCATCGAACACTTCCATATTCTTAACTCGTTCAAGGTAGTTATCAACAAAATGTTGAGGCAATATACAAAATTTATTTGGATCATCTTTTGATGAGATTTTTACAAAATCATGCATTAAAGGTGTCTCAATTTTTTTGATGATTTCATCTTCTGGAATTTCAATGTCGAACATTTTATTTTAGAAATTAGTATGTGCTACTGCTGGAAGTTCAAAAAATACTAAATAAGGAAACAAATTTAAAGAAAAGCTATCACGTTTGAGGTTGAGATAACTCTTATCGCACTTGATAATATTTTATTGCATAATAACTTTTTGGTTGTGTGCAGCAATAAGCAAGGATTATTTTGAAATAGATTGGAAATTTCATTTTAAAATTTATATTCAAACTGAGCTTCGTCCAATTTGGGACACTCCACATACTCATCAAGCTTTTCATTCTCTGCAACTGATAATTCCTTCTTATATCCACCAACTTGTCCTTTCCTGACAAAATTGAATTCATTCAATGATGGATCTCTTCCAGATGCTTCCATCAATTTCTTCAATTCAACTTCTTTGTTGATCATTTTATTGTCACGAATTGATTCGAATGACAAATGCTTGCAAAGCTTGTCAATCTCTTCTTGAGAATAATTTTTACCTAAAAAGTTCATTGCTTTTTTGACTTCTTGGTCCAAATTTCTCTTCATGTCTTCAAAAAACAGGAACAAAATATTTGGTTCATTCCGGATCTTCCAAAATTCAGTAATGTGTTCATTCATTGGAGAATACATCATCAAATCTTTTACAAATGCTTCAATAAAGTCTTCTTTTGTCCCTTCATATCCATGCATGTGTCTGTGATGATGAAACCATGATACAGCTGTATCTTTGGGATTTCTGGCTACGTAAATTATCTGAAAATAAAGAATGATGTAGGCAAAGGTCCTGTATTTTAATGCTTTAAGATATTCAGCAACGCCTAACCTTCCAAGGACTTAATCATTCTCACCTTTGGCTTAACAGTCCACATTTGATCGGGTAAGAGAAATACTGGAAGATGAGTCTTGATGTAACGTGGTCTAGGCTTATTTTTGCAAAACTCAAAGGAATCTGTTGGAAATCCAGTGGCAATTCCACTCAATCTACACAAAAACAAACAAATTTGTCAAAATAAATATGACATTTTTTTTATAATCACAGCACCTACTCCATAAATGGAAATCTATCTTCAAGATTAACGTTCATTGACGTTTCATAATCAAGATTGTTACAAATCATCCAAATCATTTCCATAGCCCATGTTGTTCCACATTTCGGATATGTCACTACCCAAATGTCGTCCTCAAATACTTCCATATACTTAATTCTTTCGAGATCTTGATCAACGAATTTTTTAGGCATTATGCAAAATTGTGATTGATCATCATTTATTGATATCTTCACAAAATCTGTCATAAGATTTGTCTCAATTCTTTTTACAAGATCATCTTTTGGCACATCAATGCTGAACATTTTGGACGAAGAATTTCGATTTCTGCAAAAATTGAAAGCACTAAACAAGATTAAACTACGTACATGACTAAACAACGAATTTTGTTTTTCGTATTTTAAGCAATTAATCGTAAAATTATCAGGCACTGATAACACATTTTATTGCCACAGAGAGAAGGTAATTGAGAGAGGATAGTGAGCAGAGAAAATAACTAGTTATTTTATAGATTTTTATTGATCCACATTAAATAAATTTATACTCAAAACCAGCATCTTTCAAAGTTGAATCTTCAGCATATTTATTCAGCATTTTTATCTCATCAGCACTTAGTTCATTTTCATATGCTCCAACTTTCCCTTGTCTTATGAAACTGAATTCGTCTTGTTTAAAAGTTCTTCCAACTGAGTCCATCATTTCCTTAATTTCATCATCTTTGTTGACCATTTTGTTGGATTTTATTGATTCAAATGATAAGTGCTGACAAAGTTTGTTGATTTGATCTTGTGAATAATTTTTGTCCAGAAATTTCATCATTTTTTTCACTTCCTGATTTAAGTTTCTTTTCATGTCTTCAAAGAATAAAAACAAAACATTTGATTGGTTCCGAATATTCCAAAAATCCAGAACATGGCCATTCATTGGTGAATTGAATGCCAAGTCACTTGCAAAAGCTTTTATTAAATCATTTTTAGTTCCTTTATATTCAAGCATGTAGCGATGATGATGATACCATGAGACTGCAGTATCTTTTGGGTTTCGAATGACATAAATGATCTGTTGAATAGAATCAGGGGTTCAATCTACAAATCTCTTGCTTTAAGGATATGCTTACCTTTGGATTAACACTCCATAATTGATCAGGCAAAAGAAATAATGGCAAATGTGACTTAATATGCCTTGGTCGAGGCATATTTTTACATTGCTCAAAACTATCAAAGTCAAAACCAGAATGAATGCCATTGAATCTAAATAAATCAAGCATTAAAAATACCAATCATTAATTATTCTAAATCACTTACTCTAAGAATGGAAATCTGGCGTTTAACTTCACATTCAGTGCTGTCTCATAGTCAAGGTTATTGTTAATCATCCAAGCCATTTCTTGAGTCCATGTTGTTCCACATTTTGGAAATGTTACAATCCAAATGTCATCTTCAAATATTTCCATGTTCTTGATTCTTTCAAGATAATGATCGGCAAACTTTTTAGGCATAATGCAGAATTTTGATGGATCATCTTTTGACGATATTTTTACCAAATCAGAAACAAATTCAGTTCCAATAGCTTTTAAAATTTCACTATCAAGCTCTTTAATTTTAAACATTTTTGAATTTAAGAATTTACGATTTGTAGTTCTGATATATTTCACTGTCTTAATCCGTCAAGTATTGTATTTTAACTGACGCAGGAATTTACGCACATGCGTGTTATTAAGGTACTTAAATAAAAATTAAAAACTTGTTTATTGACCTTGACTGTAATGATCTAAGGTTTTGAAAAAAAAAGTGCGTTTTAAATTAGAAACAAAAAAATTATTTTATTTTAAAAATCAATCTCTTGGACTGTCAATCAGAAAAGTTATTTAAAATTTATATTCAAAATCAAAATCTTTAAATTTTAGACATTTCAAATAATCATCAAGGATTTCATTTTCCCCAGCTGACAATTCTTTCTTGTATCCACCAACTTGTCCTTTCCTGACAAAGCTAAACTCATTCGGGTCAAATTTTTCTCCAGCTGACTCCTTCAACATCCTGATTTCTTCTTTCTTATTTATCATTTTGTTGTCTTTGATTGAGTCGAATGACAAGTGCTTGCAAAGCTTGTCAACTTCTTCTTGTGAATAATTTTTATTCAAAAACTTCATTGCTTTTTTGACTTCTTGGTCCAAGTTTCTCTTCATGTCTTCAAAAAACAGGAACAAAATATTTGATTCATCACGGATCTTCCAGAAATCAAGAATATGATCATTCATTGGTGAATAAAGCATTAAATCTTTAACAAATGCTTCAATGAAGTCTTCCTTTGTTCCTTGATAGCAATGTAAATGTCGATGATGATGGAACCATGAAACTACAGTGTCCTTTGGGTTTCTAGCGACATAAATTATCTTTAAATATAGAATTAGTTCCAAATTACATTATAGAGAAAATTTGAAGCTGAAAAATAAGTACCTTAGGCTTAACAGTCCACAATTGATCAGGCAGGAGAAATAATGGAAGATGAGACTTAATGTAACGAGGACGTGATTGATTTTCACACTCAGCAAAAGTATCGATTGTAAAATTTTTGATTATTCCGCTCCATCTAATTTTAAATCATTTTAATTCAATTAATTAATTAACTTTTAAAGTTAAAATTAATCTTACTCCAAAAATGGAAACCTATCACTAAGTTGCACTTTGGATGATGTCTCGTAGTCAAGATTGTTGTTGATCATCCAAATCATCTCTTGAGTCCATGTTGTGCCGCATTTCGGATAAGTTACAACCCAAATATCATCTTCAAAAATTTCCATATTTTTGATTCTTTCCAAATCTTGTTCGACGTACTTTTGAGGCATTATGCAGAACTTTGACGGATCAGATTTTAAAGAAATTTTCACCATATCAGCAGTTACTTCAGTTGATATTTTCTTTGCTGGAATATCTTCCAATTTTTCTGTATCAAACATACTGGAAATAAAATTGTTTACGTCTTTTTGATTCAGCAAACACGCCACTACTGATAAAGCTTTTATCATTCATTTTTAAAAAAGCAAATGCACAAAATTTGATAGGGGCCGTTTACTTATGACGTCCAGAGAGATTGGGGGGGGGGGGGGTGTTATCAATCAAGAAAAGTGCAATAGAAATTCCTGGAAATCAATTGTTCTTTTTTAAAATGACCGCTAATTTCGGACGTCATAAGGCTCTATTCATGAGTTGATAAAAAATTAATCTTTTTTTTTTATCAGTCGTTGTGGATACCGGCGTTCTTAAAAATCATCATCTCTATAATCGCAATGTTTTATGAAAATATAAAACAAAAAAGATATGATTAAAAATTTTTATTTGACAAATGATGCAACGGCTTGGCTAGCATGCATGAATCAATTATGTATCTGTTTTTAAAATTTATATTCAAAACTAGGTTCTATAATTTTTGATAGTTCAACATATTCATCCAAAATCTCATTTTCTTCAGCAGACAATTCATCTTTATATCCACCAACTTGTCCTTTTCTGATGAAATTAAACTCATTTTCATCGTATTTCTCACCAAAAGATTCTTTTAAACTTTTGACGTCTTCATTTTTGTTGACCATTTTATTGTCACGAATTGATTCGAATGACAAATGCTTGCAAAGCTTGTCAACTTCTTCTTGTGAATAATTTTTATTCAAAAATTTCATTGCCTTTTTGACTTCTTGGTCCAAGTTTCTCTTCATGTCTTCAAAAAACAGGAACAAAATATTTGGTTCATTCCGGATCTTCCAAAATTCAGTAATATGTTCATTCATTGGAGAATACATCATCAAATCTTTTACAAATGCGTTCATAAAATCATTTTTATTTCCTTTATAAAGTTGGAAGTGACGATGATGATGAAACCATGACAAAAAGGTATCTTTAGGGTTTCTAGCTGTATATATGATCTGTTTAATAAGCGAAATTGATAAGATAAGCTCAATAATAAACTTCAAATGCGACTGATAATAATTTACCTTTGGCTTAACAGTCCACAATTGATCAGGCAATAGAAACAATGGCAAATGAGTTTTAATGTATCTTGGCCGCTTCATATTCCTGCAAATTTCGAATGTATCAGTTGGAAATTCCTCAAAAATTCCACTAAATCTGTGAAAAAATAAATGAATAAATATTGAAGATTTTTTTACCAATTTTTCTCACTCTAAAAATGGAAATCGATCATTAAGTTGCACACTCAAAGATGTCGCATAGTCAATGTTGCTTCCAATCATCCAGATCATCTCTTGTGTCCAGGTCGTACCACATTTTGGATAAGTCACGACCCAAATGTCGTCCTCAAAAATATCCATATTTTTGATTCGTTCTAAATCTTGGTTCACAAACTTTCGAGGCATGATACAAAATTTAGTTTTATCATCTTTTGAAGATATTTTAACTAAATCAACGATCAACTTTGTTTCGACTGATTTAACGATTTGATCGACAGGCTTCTCAATATTGCACATGTTCATAATTAAGCTTAAGAATTGCAATAATTTTGTTTCCAAAAATGTTACTCCTCTGACACACTTCGAGATCAATACTGACGGAGATTATTTAGTTCAATTGCTTATAAAAGTTCAAGAGCTAAAGGGTTTGTTCATAAATGATGTCACATTGTTTTTTAAATTGCCAATTTTTGACTTCTATTAAATGTTATTTTTAGGTTAGGACGAAAAATGGAGAGAGGCTGGGGGTGGTTTTCAAAAATTATGTTCTTCGAAAAAGTCATAAGTGAATAATCCAAAATAATTGCCTATCAGTTGTGTATCTAATTTACTATCAATGATATTTTTTTTTATCTTTCTAGATTAGAATTATCAATATTTGCCCTTTACAGGAGCACTTCAAAAATATTGATTTATTAAGACTCGATTTTTTTTCTCAATTTTACAAATATCAAAATTTATATTCAAATCCAAAATCTTTAAATTCAGGATCTTTTCCATATTGGTCCAGCATTTCATTTTCTTTAATTGATAATTCTTCTTTATATCCACCAACTTGTCCTTTCCTAATAAATGTATACACATTCGGATCATATTTTCCACCTACAGAAGTGACAAAACTTTCAAGTTCTTCATTTTTGTTGACTGTCTTGTTTTTCTTAATCGAATCAAATGATAAATGAATACACAACTTATCGATTTGATCTTGTGAATAGTTTTTGTTTAGAAACTTCATTGTCTTCCTGACTTCTTGCTCTAAATTCCTTTTCATGTCTTCAAAAAACAGGAACAAAATGTTTGGTTCATCACGGATTTTGAAGAAGTCAAGAACGTGTCTGTTCATTGGTGAAAAAAACATTAAATCTTTAGAAAATGCTTCCATAAAATCTTCTTTTGTTCCTTGATACTGATGAAAGTGACGATGATGATGGAACCAAGAAACAGCAGCATCTTTTGGATTTCGAGTGACGTAGATTATCTGGAGATAATAATTCAATAATTATTCGTGGCTTAATTAACATTAATAAACTTACTTTAGGCTTAACAGTCCATAGCTGATCAGGAAGTAGAAAAATCGGTAAATGGGTATTTATATGACGTGGACGAGGTAATTTCTTCAAAGTTTCAATCCTATCAACATCTAAATGCTGAATAATACCACCCCATCTGTAAGTACAATTATAATTAAACTAAGTTAAACTTTAAGTTCCATAAAACTCTCACTCTAAGAATGGAAATCGTTCCGTAAGCTTCACATTCATTGAAGTCTCATAATCAAGATCATTATTGAGCATCCAAGCCATTTCTTCAGTCCAAGTTGTACCACATTTTGGAAAAGTTATAACAAAAATGTCATCTTCAAAAATTTCCATATTTTTGATTTTTTCAAGATCCTTTTCTGTAAATTTTCTGGGCATTACGCAAAATTTTGATGGATCATCTTTTAGTGATATTTTTACTAGATCAGCAATAACTTTTGTTTCGACCTTTCTTAAAAGCTCGTCTTCAGGTTTCTCGATTCTAAACATTTTTGATGTATTTTTTGTCAATCTTGCTGTTCAACCATTTAACTAGAACTGAATATTATGAATTTTTGAATTCAAGCTTTTTAAATCAGCTTATCAACAACTGATAACTTTTAGCATGCTTTTTAAGCGAATGGTGATTACATTTTTCATAATGTCTTGATTGATTCCACAATTTTGACTTTAACTAGAGGACCGTTCACATATGACGTCCATCAAAAAACCTAATTTTTAGACCCCCCCCCACCTCTGTCACAGATGTCAATACAGACCCCGCCCCCCCCCCCCACTTTTTGTGACGTCCAATTCAAGACACAAAAAAATTATAATTTCCTGATTTAAAAATAGGATGTCGCAAATTTCCTGACCCCCTCCCTCCCCTGTCAAAATGTTTCACAAATTGTTTGACACCCCTCCTTCCTTAAATGTTGGACGCCAACAAGCAATGTTGCTTTTAACATTTGTAAGCAAATCCACACTTCTCCAACTCTGGATCACTCATAATCTTATCAAACAACTCATTGATTTCTAAAGTCAATTCACCTTTATAGGAACCAACTTGGCCTTTTCTGATAAAACAAAAGTCTTCTTGTTTTGCTTGCTCGTCAGTCATTCTTGTTTCTTTTAAATGCTTCACATGTTTTTCAATATTACATGACGGATTTTTCTTCATTGAGTCGAATGATAAATGATCGCAAAGCTTATCGATTTTATCCTGTGAATAGTTTTTGCTTAAAAATTTCATAGCTTTTTTGACTTCTTGATCTAAATTTCTCTTCATATCCTCATAAAATAGGAACAAAATGTTTTGTTGGTCACGAATCTTCCAAAATTCCAAGACATGAGGATTGAATGGAGCAAAAAGAATTTGATTGTTCAGAAAAGCTTTCAAAAAAGTTTCCTTTGTTCCAGTATAAAGATGAAGATGTCGATAATGATGATAAAATGAGATAGCTGCATCCTTAGGGTTTCTAGTCACGTAGACGATCTGCTTGATTATATCAAAATTAAAATTTTATTGAGAAACTATCCCGAATGGGACTGGTCGGTTGATCGATCAGAAACCCGGCACCAAGCTAGTGTGAATCTGGTATGGTGCTAATTTTAAATCGAAGCCAGCACTAGCACTATTCAAACAACTTTACCTTAGGTTTTACTATCCATATTTTATCAGGTAACAGAAATGCAGGTAAGTGTGTCTTTATATGTCTTGGACGTGAGAGTTTTTCACATACTTCAAATGAGTCTTCGCTGCTTTCAATCATAACACCGCCATCCCTTAGACAACAAAAGACATTCATCAAAAAATAAAATTTTGACTCTAATTTTAAATACTTACTCAATAAATGGAAATCTGTCATCAAGGTTTTTATTTTTCGATCCTTCATAATTCAAATTATTGTTCAACATCCACAGCATCTCTTGTGTCCAGGTTGTTCCACACTTTGGAAAAGTCACTATCCACAAATCATCTTCATAAATTTCCATTTCTTTAATCTTTTTAAGGTATTGATCAGCCATTTTCTTTGGAATCACACAAAACTTTCCGGACTCATCATTTGCATTGACTTTTACATATCCATAAGTTCGTGATTTTTCGACTTCCTCAATATATTCGCCAGCTGCTCGTTCTACCGTGAACATTTTTTGATGAATGAAGGAATTGAAATGACTTTTTTGATTAAGTTATCTTTATTAAGTTACGCAATCAATTTGCGTAGTATTAAGTTTGATAAGAAATAAGGAAGGCGTAAATACTTGAGAGATTGTTGACCTTCTTTATAAGCACGTTTTTCTCAAGTGACTTTAAACACGTACATACATACGTACATACATACATCGCTGGCTTTACAGATTAATTGTGATCCATAGTCTCCCAACCCTAACGACCCGAGTTCGATCGCAGTTAATGTCTAAACATAGGCTCCTTAGCTGGCGTCTGAAAAAGACTCTGTCGCTGGCTGATTCTAAACACAAACTTTAAAATTCGATTCCTTTAATTTCAAAATTAAACAATTCAAATTAACCACGAAATAAATTATTTTATTAACAATTTCAATCCCCAAAAATTACAAAAGTATTTTTAAAATTTGTATTTAAATCCATTTTCGATCAAACAAGGTTGATTAATATAATCTTCAAATTGCTGATTGATTTCTTCAGAAAATTCTTCTTTAAATGACCCAACTTGTCCTCTTCTGATGAACTTAAAGTCACCACTTGTCTTTCCATTTTTATTTACTTTCTTTGCCATTTCCACTAAAGCATCATTATTGCATGATGGATTAGCACGCATTGAATCAACTGAAAGATGGTCGCAAAGCTCCTTAACTTCATCGTTTGAAAAGTTTTTTCCGAGAAATTTCATCGCTTCCTTTACGACTGCTGTCATGTTCCTTTTCATGTCCTCGTAATGCAAAAATAAAATATTTTCATTATCACGAATTTTCCAAAAATCAAGAACGTGCTCATTAAATGGCGCATAAATGACTTGATCATTAAGAAATGCTCTTATGAAGTCTATACGTGTGCCTTCAAAGCCGACTATGTGACGATAATGATGAAAGAAAGAAGTCGCAACATCTTTTGGATTTCTTGCAACGTAAATGATCTGTAATTGATAATTTCTGTTTTGCAATTAAGTTCTGTAGTTAATTGTAGCAATTACCTTAGGTTTCACAGTCCATAACTGATCAGGAAGCATAAAGATTGGAAGATGCGATTTAATATGACGAGGTCGTTGCATTTTCTCACAGATTCCAACAGAATCTCCATCGAATTTGTTCAGAACTCCATTTAATCTGAGGAATGGTTTTTATTAGAATTTGGAAGCGTTATTGATAAGCTGCTTCCCATTGCTTTCCCAAAAATATTTTATTGGACACACAAATTCATTAACTTACTCTAAAAATGGAAATCTCTCATTCAAATTCACATCATATGCAGTTTTATAATCCAAATCATTGTTAACCAGCCATATCATCTCCTGTGTCCATGTTGTTCCACATTTTGGGAATGTCACAACCCAAACATCATCTTCATACACTTTCATGTTCTTAATTCTATCAGCAAATAAGTCCATATATTTTTTTATCATCACACACGATCGATCATTTGAATTATCACTTAATTTCACTTCCGCATGGTCATAACAACCAGGACAATCGATTTTTCGGACAATTTCATTTGTCAAAAGATTTATGCTGAACATTTTGTCACAAAAAAATTACCTGGAGACTGTAAAGCTGTGGATACTGCAATGAACACTTTTATACTGACTCAAAAAAATGCACAGAAATGACGACGAACTAGCTGGCACACTTAAAGATCTAGCAATAGTTGCTTATTAGCAGATGCAAGTAACTTTTTATTAGTTTAAGTTTCACGAGAGCCTACATTAGAGAGATAGATGCGAAGTCGATGAACGAAAACTATGTGACTGTTTATTTTTTTCCGGATCGAGTTTACGTTTTTGCTGGTCAATGTGTATTGGAAATTTACAAGTGCATTTATTTGATTTTCTAATTGATAGATTTGCAGTAGCTTAATGCATGATAATTGAGATTTTATATTAATTTATGAATTTTCAAAACTGCAAGTTGTAGCTTATTAGTAATAAATCATTTAGAGATTCTTATGAATCTTACAGCTACTTTGACTTTATTTTAATGAATTTATTAAAGAAAACACACATTGATTGTCATGCACAAGAGACAGAATGAGATTTGAAAGCTTCAAAATTTAGATCGTTTCCCTAGAAAATTCAAAATGCAACTAACTTGCTTTATTATTATGGAAGAACATCAGCTTGCTAGTTTGAATATGGGATATGTAACTTTATTTAAACTGCTGACCTTTTATGGTTTTGTAAGATTATAATGATAATTTATTACTCAATCTTATCATATTCACACTATATTGACTTATTAGGAGAGCTAAACGTCGATGAAATTTTGTATGGAGTCAAGTCGACTCGGAATCGAATCCGCCATACAAAATCTATGAAAATCTCCAGTCGACTTCGAGCTCTGCTCATTAGTAAAGATGATATTAAACTCTTAATTCGGAGATTGACTAGTTGCATAGAAATAAAGTTTCTTATCCATAGACTGTACATCGGTTTTTTCCGATTTTTTGTGAAAAAGTGAGCAATTGGACAGCCTACTCATCCAAGGATGGACACCTGAAATTTTTTAAGGTTATATCTAAATTGATTTAAACGCATTTATTTGTTCATTAAAAAATTATTATTTTTTTTTATATTTTTAAAAATCTTTTCAGATGTACAAATTCAAGCACCGAAAATTTTGAAAACTTTCTATTCAATTTGAATTTTTCTACATTTTACTTTTAAAGGCACAATTCACCTTGCATTTTAATTGATTTTTTTTAGTACGAAAAAAACTTTATCTTAGTAATTTTTGTTGCATTTTCTTAAATGAGAAAATGATATTTGTTGCTGTAACTTTGGTTCAATTATGTCCATTCTTAAACTTGAATGTGTAGTCGTTCGTAAATGCCGTCCAAAATATTTTGAAAGGGAAGTGGGGGAAGGGAGCTTCAAACGTTTTTACTATTTTTAAAATTTTGAAATAGTTTGGGTGGGGGGGGGGGGGGGGAGGGGTCTTAGTAGAATTTCTCACGAACGTCATTTTTAAACGACACCATTTCAAAAAATCTTAAAACATTCTGACTAGTCAATTTTATTAATGTATGCCTGTATACGACTTTTTATGTTGAAGAGTTGATTTTGTTAAATATATCGTTTTGTAGATTCTAAAGCTACAGACTCTGTATGATAAAATTAATTATTCCTGCTATGGCTCAGATCATTAAAACTTCAATTTCCAACTCCATCACTCTTCATTCCTTCCTCAAAGTACAAAATGACTGGAACAAACAGGTTTTTGATCGATAATATCATCAATAGTTTTATTCTCAGCTTTCATTGTCTCTAAAGTCTTCAGGCAAATGACAACACAGCATCCCTTATCAACAGCATCTTTTGTGCTTATACATCCGCATGTTCCATTCGGTGCTGGCTTTGAGGTATCAACATTCAGTGAATCAATTTCCTCAATCAATTTGTTCGTGTCAGCTTCAATTTCATTCTGTGTTTGCCTCACAGTCTTCTCCTTTTTTCCACCGCATGGTTTTGTTGTCTCACACGAGCCAGAACATCCGCCGTCTTGCATTGGATCGCATTTACAGTTTGTACATCCACAAATGCCTGCATCTGCAGTGATTGACTTTAAAGTTTTATTAATTGAATCGACTTCCATTTGTGAGTCTTGATTGCTATTTGACATAATAAAATCATTCATTGTTGGCTGTGCTGATTGTTGGTCCATAAACATGCCATTGGTATTTTGTATTTGATATGTCGGTAAGTCAATATAGGTTGGAACGACTGTTGATATTGCAATACATTGCGATGTTACGGGCGTTGATGGAAGTACTGATTTTGCTGCCAATGTTGATATGTCAACCCACTGATGCTCATTCAATTCGACCTCATTTGCAAGTGCAAGTTCCATAGCCTCATTTGTAGTCTGTTCTGGTGATGATGCCGATGGAGATATATAATTATTAAAGTATGGTTCAAGCTTTATGCTATTTCCATTATCATCCAGAACTTGAAATTGTAACATATTTAATGTATTCATGTATGTATCGCCGTCATCAGATGATGATGCATTTGATGACGTCATTAAGTCTGTAGACGTTGTAAAACTAATTTCTTTGGTATTGCTTCGATTTATTGTTGTAACTGAGCTTTTAGCTCTTTTCTCGTGGGTTTTTATGTGAGATTTTAGACTGTGTGGCGTTGAAAATGCTTTTGAGCATGTTTGATCTATTTTACATAAGTACGGTTTCTCGCCTGCAAGATAAATTGAAGTTTTTTGTTAAAAACCTAGCATAAAGAGGGGCTCATTGGGATTTAAGATACCCAAATGTTCCTTTCTCTCCATAATTAAATACGTACCACTGTGAATTCTACAAAGAAGCAATCAACATAAAAAGATAAGAAATAAAATCAATTAAAAGTTCCAAACGAGCTCATTTCAAATTTTTCATGTTACCTTAAATGTGTTTTTAAATGGTGTGACGCTGTAAATGCCTTTAAGCACTCACGACATCTAAAAAGAACAAATTACGAAAAAAAAGAAAAGACAAAAAAATTAGAATAATATCCTCAAAAAGTTTCACACGTACAAATTTTTATGTCACGCGAATGAACAAATGGAACACGAGAAAGTGATTTTAAGGAATTTTGGGGCTGACGCTTAAATTGAGGTAGGGAATGATTGACAAAAGTGCATTGAACGCATTATTTTTGCAAGCTTGACGGGAAATTAAATGATTTTTAATCAAGATTGTTTTAATTATTCCTCATTTTAATCGTTTAGAAGGTCAAAGAAAATAAAACTTGATCTTACAAAAAAAAGTCAATTAAATTTTTTCTGCTTGAATAAAAATTAATCTCGCGCATAAAAAAAAGTTAAAAATAAAATCAGTTTGTAAAAAACATTTTGTTCCCACACAGAACACGAAAATGAAGATTTGAAATTTTTTCGAACAGATATGAGTGTTCGAATCCCACCAAAAACGAATGCGAGTGCGTATTTATTCTCCTATACACTTCCATTAACTTAATGATATTAGTGGTTTGCACCTGTATTCGCAATAAAATACAGTTTCTACTAATATTATCAAAATTAATCAAGATCTATCAAAAATGTGCTTGTGTCAATTTAAGTTTTAGTCGGAATCGAAGTCCACGGAGAGTGTGTTTCAAAAATCGGTAAAGTTTGTTTTAAAAACTAATTTGATTTTAAAAGTTTTGAGAAACTTTAATGAAATTTTTATAAAATTAAATTTTTAAAAAGCGACAAAAAAACAGTTCAAATATGGACAAATTTTGTGCTGAGTTGTCTGTAAAGTTTCAAAAAAATATTAAGAACTCCAGAATATCAAATTTATTTTGGAGTGCATTAAAAAATTCTAATGTAAGTTTAAACTTTTTAAAATTTCTTAATTTTCATAATTTTTAAAAACCTTTTTAATCTCTTAGACATTGCCAGATATGAGCAGAAACTTCCAAATTATGTACCAAGAAAGGACATTGATTCGATTATGATTTTAAGAATCTTGGAAATTTAGGAATTTCAGATGTATTCTAAACAAAAATATTGTGAAATATTCAAATTATTTCAAAAAAAAATCGGTAAGGTTAAACTTAAGATAAAATCGTGGATGCGCCTAATAGTAAATAAGCAAATTTGGTATAGTGCTAGTATTGTAAAGCGATAGAAGTATGACTAGACACATTAATCTGAGATCAATAGAATCCCGTATAGTTTGGTTGACCATCTGCTTGGTTTTTCAGAGGACAGTCTTCATTTTTTTTTTTATTTTTCAAAAATAAAATATTTTTCTTTTATTCTAGTTTTTCCAGAAAAATGAAATTGGTAGACTCTGAAAATCTCGCCCCAAGCTAGCGTAATTCTGACATGATGCTAGACTCAAATCGAATTCAGAACCATGCCAGAATTACGTCAGCTTGGTGCTGGATTTCTATTCGATAAACTAATTTGTGCTTTTCGGGAATAATATCCATTATTGGTAATTATTTAAAATATTACAAAAAAAAAAGCCACAAAATTTCATTCAAATCGACAAACTGAATCAAAACCATTCAATCCGAAATTTCATTCTAAAAATCCCACACACGCCTAAACAAACATCGACGAATACTTTTTCTATTCACTAATAAATGAATGAAACAAAAAACATACAAGTTCATTGTCTACAAGCTGCTTTAGTTTTGTTGTGTTTTTTGTTTGTTATTTTTCTGTAAATCACGTGTTATCAATAAATCTTTCAATGCTTTCAACGGAGAATATAAAAAAAGCACATTTATGGTGTAATAATTTCTCGTAAACATTCATTTACTTTAAGTAGTAAATAAATTTATTTTCGCGGCACCTTATCATTGTCAGGTGGGGTTTGAAGACAATAATAAGTTATAATTTGTTACTTACTTAAAAGGACGTTCTTGAGTGTGCGTACGAAAATGCTTTTTAAGATCCGAGAGAGTCGTAAAGAATTTTGAGCAAATTGAACAGTTGAATGTTTCGCCATTATGAAGACGTAAATGAGCACGCAATCTGTAGCGTGTGTTGAATGCCTTCTCGCATCCTGATTCCGTGCATTCGTATGGTTTTATTTTTGTGTGCACTCGAATGTGAATTTTTAGAGAGTATGATGTTAAAAATGCTTTTCCACATCCTTGCTCGGAACATTTGAAACGGAATTCACCTAAAAAGAAAGTGTGTTAAGGATTAATTATGAATAAAATTGAGTTTCGGATGCTGGAGTGCAGTTTTGGAAGAAATCTGATGATTAAATTGAAGCTCAGACTTGAATTGTTGCTCATTCTGTTGAAATGTTGCTCAGATTGCTAAATTGTTGCTCATTAGTTGATCAGTTTGTTGAATTGTTGCTAAGTAGTTGCTCAGTTTGCTGAATTGTAGCTCAAAACATTGAATTGTTGCTCAGTTTGTTTAATATTCTCTCATATCAATCAATCTTCGCTTCATCAAGTCCTATTAACACAGACATCTTCCACAAAAATGCACTCCAAAAAAACATTCTCAAAACCGCATATCAAATTACCTTTATGAGTTTTCAAGTGAGTCCTCAAGTTACCAACGGTACTATACGATCTGTTACATTCATCATAATTACATCGATATCGTGCATGAATTGCTGGATTTGTGCCCTACAAAAAGTAAAATATATCAAATTATACACTCGAAACTTGAAACAAAAATTTTACTTGTTGAGTCGCATACAAACACGATCATTCATGTCTGTCACAGGAATAAGAGAGAAAGAGAATATGAAAGGAAATAGAAATGATGAAGATAATGCAACATGCGAGTGAAAACCAAAAAGAAATCTTCAACACCTGCTGAAGTTCTTTTTTTTATTTTTCTTTCTCCTTTTCGGTTAAAAATAGAATCAACTCATGTTGGTCTCTGAATTAATAGTTCATTCCTCATCACAGAGAATGATTAAAATAAGAATGAATAAAAGACTTTTTCGCATGGAAAATTACTGAAAAAGAGAAATTACGTCTATTTTTATCTGCACCGGTTTTTGACGTAGCAGAAGTGAATGAAAATCTTATTTTGTAGCTGACGATGATTTGTTGTGGATTTTGAGGGGGATTGACTAATTTGGGAGAAGAATGTTTTGGATATAAAGTTTCTCAGGAAAGAAATTGGATGTTAAAAGTCGAGAAAAGTCTTCGGCTTTATTCCGAATTGATTTGGATGATAATGACGGAATATCCAGACTCTACACTCAACCCTCCAATTCTTAATGAGATCTCCTCAAAGCTTAACTCAAAAATGTCAATGACCTACCAACCAAGTTCATCTTCCTCACTTTCCCCCTAATTTACTGCCAATAAAAAATAAACAAAAAACATTTTCTTCATCCGCCCTTGCCTTTTTTTTAGTTTTGTTTATCAAAACATAAATCCCCCCATTGTAGAGCTGATAATTCAACCTTATCTTTCATCTCGTCAATGAAATGGGATACTTTATTATTCGAAGAAGAAAAAAATCAGTACAGAAAGGTCAAACGAAGGAAATCTCCAAAACTCAGTGGTTGAATTTGAACAGCAATCAACAAGTTATAAAATTAGCATGCACGAAGGAAACCTAAAAAGCATGTATGAGAGAATTTTTTTACCTCAATCGTAATTGTTGCGTGTGACGGCTCACCAAGAAATTCACCTTGCCCCGGTCGGATAGTTAAATTTATCTCATTCTCATTGATTTGGTGATGAATTGTTCTGTAATATTTGATGATAAGGAATGACTCATTTTTGGACTTAACAACATCAAAAAAAATTCTTATCTCACCCACGATCACTTCTCTGGTCGATTTCTAGGTCAAACTTCATGTCATTTGCTGTGTCATGAACAATTGATGAATCACAAAAGTTTAAATGTTCCTCATTTAATGCAAATTGTTCAGGTATTTGATAAATTACTCTGTCAAATTCCTCTATACAATTATGTAGATCTAGTTCACTGTCCAGTGATAATACTTCATGCTTTATCAATCCTTTACTTGGCGATAATGCCATTTCTTCATTCATTCTTTATTGTTTTATTGCGTTGCGGGAGGATTGGCTGATTATTTATTGTTTCAAGTTGATTCGAATTGATCAACTGTTGATTTATTTTAGGGATTTTTTGGGGGTTTTTTGGGGGGTTCTGAATTGAAAAATGACATTTAAATGATCAGCAATCAAAGATTAGAAGTTAAGACGCAGAATGACACTTTAAAGAACGTCATCAGTAATATTTTGAGGAATTTTCAAGGAATTCAATTTTTTCAATTGTGAAATTCTAAACTAATCAATTCATTTGGTTTTTCCAAGACAAATTCTGATTTGCTTTAATTGAAAAACTCATATTTGTAGTGAATTATTAAAGCAGAAGGAATTAAGGGATTTTCCCAAACACGCCTCTAAGCTATGATATCTAAAAACTTGTCCTAGGTCAGTCATTATTCAATTCAAACTTCAATATCCTCAAATTAATATTGTTGCTAATTAATAATTTTATATTTTCAATTAAAAAGACTGATTAAGCTTTGACTATTTCAAGTGGAAAATTTTGACACCTGATCATAATAAACAACAACTCATTTTTAACAGTTCTTTACCACAAAATTTGGAACATTCCAATTAATTCTATTGAAAATTTTACTTTTGATTTATTGACTTTAGCGAATGTATACATAAAGCTAGTAAACCATCGGCATTTCTTTCTCGCACAAATTATGCATACTGTGAAGTAAATTTATCATGAATCACATTTTTTAAAACGATTTGCGATTCGATTTATTATCATTGAACTAGCTTGAAAAATATTGCAAAATGTTCGGCGATTTTGCTTCAATTTCGCAGATTTTAAAAGATTTTACATTAACATTTCAAACTAGTAATCTAATTCTATATAAATTCTTCATCAATCTATTAAAATTTTACAATAAAAATTCCTCAAAAATCTTCCACATAAAAAAAATCTCAAATTTCTATCAAAAACAAAGTTCATCACAATGACAAAATTCCTTACAATTTTTCACAAAATTCTCTAGTTTATCATTTATCAGTTAAGTATCATAATGCACTCCTACTTATTATGTTATATCAGTCGGTTATTTACAAAATACACATAAAATTAATTCTGTTAAATCAAACTTTACCGACAAAATTATAAAATTTCAACACTTAAAAGACTTTTTTGAATTAGTAAATTTTTTTGTGCGGATTCATCACTGACGCTGGATTGATCGGGTGGAAATGATAAACATTGAGCTACATTCTGGATTAAGATAAAATTTAATTTGCAAATTTCATCAAAAAATGTTCAAAAAAATCAAAAATTCAAAATGTTCATCTCAAAAAATCTTTAAAAATTGTCTAAAGTCATAAAATTCTAAAAACTCTTGACAGTTCCTAGAGAAAACAAACAATCTAGTCCACACGCCGCAGTCTCGTCCCAAACAAACTGAAAACAGTTGAATTTTGAGTCAGTTTTAATTGAGAAATTGCTGTGTTCGGAACGTAAAAAAGTTAAAAACCTGCAATTTTTTTGTATTTATTAATAATTAATTAATTTTTATAAACAAATTGGATAAAAGAATTTGCATAAAATTGAGTGGATGTAAAATTTACACCATAAAGTCCTACAAAAGTGACCAGAAAATTTGCTCAACTCAATTTTCGCAAATAAAAAAAATATAAAATAGAAGAAAAGGAAAAATTCATCCAGTGTTTGTGTATATATATAATATATATATGAAAAAAAAAGTCAAGATGATGATGAGTTTAAAGCAGCGAAAAGCCATTGAGATTATGATGTGAACAATATTGCAAAATAAAAAAAAGGCATTTAACAAATAAAATTAATTTGTGTTGTGTGGAAAGTGCTGTGGATATACAAAAAAATAAATAAATAAATTTTAATAATCAAAAAAAAGTTGAAGAGAAAAAGTAAAGAAGAAAAATGCCAGCATTAATAGGAGTGTCAGAGTTTGTCGAGGAGACAACTGCGGATTATAAAAGTCCAATTACAAGTACTTTTGTGTCGAGAATGCTAAACATGAAACAAACAATTTCGACACTTGAGGAGGTGAGTTAGACGAATAACTATCTACTTTATACTTATATTGGATTTAGATACGGAATCACAGAAGAAAAAAAAATCAATTTTCACTCCGATTTTTGATTCACTGACAATTTCATTTTTTTTGTGCTTTTCCGTCTATCCATCATCAATATATTAAATGGATGTGTCATCAAAATCCAATTAGTGAGTGACTGAAACAGCAATTACTTTCCCCTCAAACCATCCACTTCCTTACTGATCTCATTGCTATCACAAATAATAATAAAATACAGTGCTGTGTGATGACTGATGGCTTTTAGTCAATTCCATTTCATTTTCACCCTCAGTTTTTTGAGCTATGCCTATCAACGCGCGTAATTTCTATCCGCAAGTCGGTGTGATAATAGTCATAAAAGATACTCAAATAATTTAATTAATCGACAAAGTCAAAATGTTTTTTTTTTGCTGGCTTGTTCTCACATTTTTATTGCTTCTCAATTCGACGGAATTACGATGACTCACAACCAAGTCGTCATCTGTTGACAATGGAATATTAAAAGTGCCCCCAAATGATCCACGGACAGAGAGAGAAAAAATACTTTTTTATTGGTGGTTCTTGGGGATTTTTTTTTTTTGGGATGTTGTGGACGGACACTTTGGGGTTGGCTGAACTGTCTTGAATGTGATTCTTAACTTTATTTGAATTCTATATGACGAAATCTAATTTCTTGTCAGCCATGAACCACAAGACACCACAAGTGAACGACCCCATAAAGCATTTCAATTCTAATAAGGCTCAATTTCTTTCAATTCAGTGCAATTTATTTACAATTATCTTTCAAAGCAGCTGATTAGTCATGAAGTCGTTGTGCAATTGAGAATGGAATGCGCTAATTGGTACTCGAATACAGCATGTCACTGCTTACAGGAAACTGATATTAAGTATGAGAAAGATTAGATCTGTGGATGATAATGAATGTGATGTTGAGTAAAGAGAGTTGTGGTATTGGAGTTCTGAGAAATTTATGAAGGTTAAGAGAATATTAGTATGACGATTTTAGAGTGCATTGAGCGAGATTTGAGTATTATTTGGTTTACTTGAAAGGATAAAATACAGACTCTAGTTGGAATTAATTATTGAGATATACCCTGACCTATGTAGTGTCATTTTGGCTAAAGCCATCAAGTAAAATTCCTCAATATTCACAAACATGCGCTTTATCCATCCAAAATCAACTGACCATACCAACTTCCTCTTCAAATATTATTTTAATATTCACTTTCCTTTTATTTTGTTCGCTCCTCCTATCATTAATCGGCTAATGAATTCAGAAACAGTTTTGGATATACACAAAAATAAATTTTTTACAACCCCGAAAATTCAGCCTTGAAAATATTCCAGACATTCTTCTTCGCATGAATAAGAAACAAAATAATAACAGCAAGAATAAGAATGAGAACAGCAATATGAAATCAGAGAGAAAAAAAAAGAATGAAGCACAGAACAGAAAATAAGAATGAACCAAATGTTACACATCTCATCATCATGATTATTGTTGTTGTTTATTTTCATTTTACGAGAATTCGTGAAAAATAACATTCAGTTAAGACTTCTTTTTTCTTCTTCCTTTTTTACTTACGCTCATACACGATAAAAAAAAAGAAGGAGATATTCTGTCTACGGCATGAAGAAACCGATCAAAATATTAAAAAAAGAGAAAAGAGTAACATTCGTGATCTTATGGCTTTGGGACACAAACGAACTTTTTTTTTTTGGTGAACATAAAAAATTATTTTCTGTTCATTTCACTTTGAAGAAAGAATATTGAAACATGACGAAATGAGAAGGAAGTGAGAATGCTTGAGGGTTTTTGTTGAGTGTTTAAAGCGCTTCGTTGATGTCTGCTTGATTTGTTAATTTTATATAGTCTAGCTTTGAGTCAATGGTATGGTTTTTAGATGAGTTGTGACTAGTTTCACATTATTCAGATGAAAGGACTAAGTTGCAAAGTAGCTGACTAAGCCTGGAACTTAATAAAATGGGTACCAACTCATCAATCTTGAGTTCAAAAATCAACTGAGTAACTTGGAAAGATCGTAAGCATCTCAACTAGCTACCAGCACCCTAGGAATATGCTAGAAACTAGTTTACTATCTCCTATAGCTGTTCGGTAGTCAAAAGAGCGTTATTAGCTGTAAATAACAGTTTTTGAATTCACTACTGCCTTCATAGCTCAAATTCTAAGTTTGCCATTGTTCCTTATAGAGAGGACAGCTACATAGAACACAAAATTCATTAGAGACCACAACATGTGAGCTACTATCAGAAATTTATCTTCCCTGAGAAGAATCAATAGCAAGTCATCACATATATATTATTTACAATAATTTTCAGACAGTCTGTTAAACCATCAACCAATCCCACATGACCCCTTACGACAAAAAAAGAAAGTGCCAAGAGGAAAGAGATGAATGCCATGTGTATATAAATATTGTTCGAAAGATACTTCAAAATAAAATTTATATTTAACCCACTTTTTTTTAAACACAAATATTAAGTAGCTCATAGTTCTGGAGTACAATTTTTCATCTGCACGAGACTGATTGAAAGTTGAAATAACACAGGCCATAGCATGAAATATAAGATCATGTTAAATGAGAAATTGTGAATGGGGATAAAGGGCTAAATATTTACACAGAAAACATCACTTTTTTTATTTCATCTTCTCAAGCATCGACTCAATGACGTTCTGGCGGCCTCGTGTCTCTTGATTACTTTTAAATGACTATCTTATTTCACAAAATATAAAATAATATAAACAAAGGCATGATTTTTATAGTTTTGAGATTGAAATAATACAGCATTTATTTGATATTAGGCTGATGGTTTTTCTACATCATCCAAAGTACTTCACGTTAATCTCTTAAAAAATATATAAAATGTATATTCATAGCGAGAGATCTTGCAACAGATAATTGAGTGGCTCAAAGTTGATTTCATGAATTCTCGTGCCATGAACTGTAAATATTGTTTTTCATTCTTTTATAGAAGTTTTTTTTTCTTGATTGTGTTTCTGTTTTTGGAGCTTGATTTGAATTTGTTGGGGTTATTGAGTTTGATGGGAGACAGTTTGGTCAACAATAGAAGAACATTAAATGGCAAAGCTTGAATTTTATGAAGGAGGGAAATCCGTTCTATCATTTGACACCTTCCTGGCTACTTACTTAACTTCATAGAGTCAGGATTCTTTAAAACTTGCAACTTATATCATTCCTGTCTGAAAAGTTTTATTACTTCAGACATTAAATGACGTAAAAGTCTCATTAATGCACCTTCTGACTAATTTATTTACCTTTTTGAATCATTCGTCTTCAAGATGACTTCACTGTAATTAACTTATGACTTAATAGCTCTTTATGAATGTTGCATCTTACAATAAATTACCTCATCGATACCTTGACAAAGAAGGAGACTTAAGAGCACTTCCTTGTTTAGAGCTTTAAAATGAAAGATTTTGCAGATAATTTGGGAAGATATCTTAGCTAGCTTTTTTTGATTTAACTACTCGATAAAACCTAAATAGCATTAAGACGTCCGAAATTAACAGTCATTTTTCAAAAACAAACAATGGATTTCCAGGAATTTCTATTGTTCTTTTCTGTCTGACCCCCCCCCCCCCTCCCCTGGACGTCATAAGTGAACGGCCCCTAATAAGTTAATCGAATAAAAAACCAGAGTCACACCGGCTTGGTGCTGGATTTCTGATCGATTAATCGACTTGTGCCATTCGAAAAGTGGTCTTATGTCTTAAATGGAAAGTTGTCGATATAAACCTCATATCCTAGGTTTAGGACTCTAGACTGCTGCACTACCGAGTCCCTCCAGCTCAATAATTCACAATATAGTCATACAAAAATGCGCTTCGGTCATCCACCCTCCTGACAACATATCGACTAGATCTTTTTTCTTTCGAATTACAAACAATAGATTGACTGAAAGCGATATAGAAGCCAAATTGGGACCAAACACAAACACCTGGGGATTTTTTTTTCTCTATTTCTTTTATTTCTATTACTCGGTTCTTATCTGCCATGGCTTAAGAAAGAAAGAATAGTCGAAGAATTAAGGCAGCAAAAGAGAGACTCAAAGAAAGAAGAAAAAAGTCGTTTTTATGAACAAGAAAAGAACGATTGCAATTGCACATTATTATTAGTATTGTTATTACCGTTTGCTGCTGTTATTACTTTTCCGTTTTTCTCATTGAACAATAAGCAGCGCACACGGTTCAAGGTTGTTTTTTGGCATCCAAGGCACATAACCTAAAAAAAGATTGTTTGCTTGCACGAATGATGGAAGTAAAGTATAAACGAAAAAAATAAAAATTGAAATGAAATTAGGGCGAATATGTTGCGAGTCTTTGTTGTTGTTGTTGTAACTTCTTCCGTACATCAAAAAAAATATATCTTGCTTCGTTTCATGTACATTGAATGTGTCTGCCCCGTGTGCATGGAGAGAAAGAAAATATTTCAGGAATGAAAATCTCTTGTCATGTTTTTTGAGAACTGTAAAGTTTTTTTTTTGGATGAAGAACAAAATGGTAAATCTATAGCAGGGAGATGGCTTGGTGTTTTTGATGTTTTATGTAGTAAGTTAATTTGTGTTATGTGAGGTAAAATAGCGTGAATAAGCGATTTGATATGGATGATATAGATCGGAATCAAATCAAGATTTAGGTAATGTTTTTAGGGATATTGATGAGTTTTGAAGGTCTATGATTGATTTTGAGGGGAACTTGGATTTTAACGGGACAATAAAGACTAGATGCTGATAGTGACTAACTTGAAATGAAAAGGTTCAAAATTTGATGATCAAAGTTCAGCAAAATTAAATGAAAATTCTTAGAATTTGCTTAGATTTCTGAAAATGTGCTTAATATTACCTAAAAATAATTGCATTCCAATTCAGGGACCATTCACTTATGACGTTCAAAGGGAGAAATGCAGCAAAAAATAACAAATTTTTGGAGATCCATTGTTCTTTTTTGAAAACGACCATTTACTTCGGACGTCATAAGTAAACGACCCCCCGTCAAAAAATAGCAAAACCCAATTTATTTTTAAATAATTCTTAATTTATCTATAATCCCTCAAATATCTCACCCTTTACAACAAACATCATCATCAACCCATTTTGCCAAAATCCCTTACAAATCATCAAAATATTGTCACTTCTTCAAACCCTTCGTAGACTTGTCCACTCATAAAAAGAAGAAGACTTTAAGCACAGAGATAAAAAAAGAAGAAAAAATAAATTTTTTTTGATACTTCAAGCCCTACAAAATTGCTTTCAGAATGTATGTCGTTCATGTCCAAAAAATATCACTAAGAAGTCTCGTTCTTTTCTTCTTATTCAGTCACAACAAAATTTTATGTGTACATTCATAAAAAAAAAACTTTTGCAATAAGAAGAGTTTTTTTCGGGTAGAAAAAAAGTCTTCAAGTTGAATGATTTATTTTAAGGATGTGGGGTGATTTTTCATTTTGTTCGTATATGTGGGGTTGTACGGATGTGATGTAACTGGTTGTAAAAGACAGAGAAGCATTTTTAGGCGTTTGCTTTTAACTGAAGGTGCAGGACCTCATTTAACAAACATCCAGCTAGGCTACACCTTTGAATAGGCTGGCAATAGTTTGAGCTGTGTTTTATACATAATGACTGGATACCTAATGCTATGGTCTATTTTATTTCTAATTCCCAAAGCTCCCTAAATCCCAAATGACCTTCCACATTTTCATACTTAAAAAACTCAAACACAATAAAACAGACGACACATTCCTATTCATATCTGTAAAATTATTTGCAAGTTCATCAAAGAGACATTTTTCTGTGCCATTTTCTTTCTTATCGCAACGACTTTTTCCTTCTTTACCTGTGTACAGCAAATGTACAAATAAATG